TAGTCATTTGTGTTTTTATATTTGTAATTTTTTTTGTCTTCAAGTGAATAAAAGTGAAGGCAAAACTGAGCAGCACTTAGGAGTATGATTCTCATCTCTTTGCTCTCAGTGATGAAAACCTTTAAAAAGGGATATGAGCATGTAGGCCATCCAGAACGATCTTAACTGAAAGAACCAGGATGGTCTTGGTGTGGAGCAATGACACTAGCTAGGTTACTGTGTTCATCCTTACCTTTCGGAACCATGTAAAAGGATAGGCACTTACTAAGGCACCTGTTGTGTTTAGTTTCTAATGCTGATAGCATTGCACATTCTAGATGTGTTTATTTAGCTCTGTGCTTTGGAGTTTAACATTTTTCATATTCAGTGTTACTCACACAGCTTTTGGTGGTGTGGGCTCTCTAACAACTCATTTATCTTCCACCTGCTGTAGGACTCATTTTTCCCATGAGGTTTAATGTTACCTTACAAGGTTTTACATCTTCAGAATCCAGGGATTCAGACTTCGGTTATTTTATTAAAACTAGGTTTAACTCTGTCTTGAGCCTTAGCATTTTTTCTAGTCTTGGTGATCCTAATTTAGTTTTAGACTACAACTAGTGTGCAGGAAACTGTTGAATTGTTGAACTGCTTACTGGAAGGAGTAATCTTGTTGAAAAGCATCTGGAATCTTTCTAAAATACTCTGTTAGGTTCATGTGCTTTTACAGTACAGAATAACTATTTTGAACCCTGTGTTTTGACCATAGCAGATTCTTCTTTCCACATAATCCAGGAGTGGTTCGTATTTCATATACTTAGACACAAAAATCAGATCATTAATCACTGAAGTAGCTGCAATTGCCTGTTAACTTTTCCTTTCAGTGAGGTCCCTCTTCTGGATTAAGTATCAAAATATGGACAGAATGCTTAAAAGACAAAGCACATCCTTCATTTTACTCCTGCTCTTTTTTTTGATGTACTCAGTTGGTCCGTTGCTTATTAATGAAAGCAGCTTTGGGTAGCTCAGTGACATGGTCTTGGCACAGTGGAAAGCAGTGATATTTTGCCATTAAGTTTAATGTAAGAAGAGTTGAAGCTCCTCTTTTTAGTTTTCATAAGTAGTTAAATTTAATACTGTTATGGGCTGGGTATTTTTACAATAATTTGTCTGGCTCCATTAATTTCTTCCACTTTTGTGTTTAAGTGGTGGTGGTTTGAATATGTGAATGCATGCCATGTAGCTGGGTTCTGTTTGTTCAGTGAGTAAATGTTTTCCCTACTGAAGTGAAGCCTGTGCCGAAGGTCACCTGTTAGCTACACTGCGTATCTCAGCCAGTAGCAAAATCTCAGTCCCATGAGAAGTTTTTTCCACCTTTTCCTCATAGTATTATGTACAGTCAGTTTACATTGCTTAGAAAAGTACAACAGTCTCTTTAGTAATGTACTAAAATACCATGTGTTCTGTGCATTCACCAGTTTTATGTTAAGGAAACAGTTGTTACAGACCTATGTAAAAAACACTTCTTCCCTTACTCGGTGTAGGAAGTTAATTGACATGGAAAAAATACTCATTATAATATATCCTGAGGAAGGCTGGCTGCACTTGTGTTGTCCCTTACATATGGAAATTTTACATAGTGTGCTTTCACATAGCCCTTAAAAAAAAAAAAAAAAAAAAAAAGCAATTTAAAATGAAAAACCAGGAAATTCAGAAGTGGTTAAAATTTGCCCCTTCATGTTGCATTAGGTGGTTGATTAATTTGGTGGCCTAAAGAAATACACATTTAAGGCTCTGTTCTGATGTGTGGCATCTGCAGACAGCCCAGGGAGGAAGTGGAGATAGAAGATACAGAAGCATAGAAGCATAGAATATCCTGAGTTGGAAGGGACCCTTAAGGTTCATCAAGTCCAACTCTTGACACCGCACAGGTCTACCCAAAAGTTCAGACCATGTGACTAAGTGCACAGTCCAATCTCTTCTTAAATTCAGTCAGGCTCGGTGCAGTGACCACTTCCCTGGGGAGCCCGTTCCAGTGTGCAACCACCCTCTCTGTGAAGAACCCCCTCCTTATGTCAAGCCTAAATTTCCCCTGCCTCAGCTTAACCCCGTTGCCGTGGGTCCTGTCGCTGGTGTTAATGAACAGTTATGAATAAGCACACTAGCTTTATTTTAAACATCAACATACGGAGTTCTTCCTGTGCTGACAGGAGACAAGAAGGTGGACATACCAAGAATCTCTTAAGTCCTGCATATAATTAAGAATGATTAACGTGTATATGACTTACTGGAAGATGGAAGGATTTTCCTGTTCCACAAAAGGCTGCAGTGGTGTTCAGTGGTTCAACTGTTTTTTTGGGTGCGGAGCATCTCTATGGCTCTGCTTGAGAAACCACAAGCACATGTCAAAGAGGTGCATTCTGCAGCTTGAGGCTCTGCTGCGGCTCCAGGAGACAGCTGCTGAGGATACAAAGTCGAGATGCAAGGATTATTTTACTTCTCACCTTTGCAGCTTCTGTATGCCATGAAAGATGCCTGGAAATCCACCTCAGTACCTGCATGGTGGGGAACAAAACAAAACAAAGGCAGAAAAGGCTTGTTTACTTGCCTTCAGTTTATTGTATGTTGTCACCAGAGCTGAATTAAAGCACACAGGTAAAGACCCAGAAGCACCTCCTACTGCTCTTGCTCTAATTTTGCCAGATGCGTACATTGCTTGGGAACAGCTGTACCAAAGCTTCCAGAGTCACCAGCTGTGCTCCCACAAATTGAGAACAAGGCAACGCTTTGCCAATGCTGCCTGTCACTCTTAATCTGTAGCTCATATGCATTGGGCTTTCTCTCCCAAGCTCAACAGTAAGTTTGCAAACAGTCAGATCCACAATGGAATTACCAGTTTCGAAGGTGTATGACTCGCTGGTACAGGGGTCTAACTAGCAGAATACCTCGGTGACAGACAGTTATTGCTAAAATCAGATTTTAGTCTTGCAGATGGAGAAAAGCATCAGAACCCACAAAAACAGAATGCTAACCTGTGTGGTGTAATCTGTGCTAATTAGTATGTGGTGTATGTCCTCTGCTGAGTCTGGTGGTGGAAGGAATCACATATGTGTGAATGCGAAAAGGTTAATAATTAAATTGTTGTATTACAGGAAGAATCTGTGGTTTTCAGTTGTGAATTTTTGCTGTATCTCTCTGACACATTTTGATTGATTTCACTTAGTCTTCCTGATCTTGCTAAGTTTAGGTACAGGCTGATAGGATCCTCAGAAGCAGGGATTTATGGATTTATGCTACTGCTCATGGTTTTCTGTAGTTTTCTCCAGAACATCATAATGGAATGGTAATTAAAGGATCTTAGAAATTCTTAGGAATTTGTTTTTCCACACAGGTTAATAAATGGTAGTCGGCTACTCCTCTCTCTCTCTCTCTCTCTCTCTCTTTCTCTATCTCTCTCTTTATGGAAATTGAAAATCAGAATTGTCAAACAGAGGAGCTTAGGCGAAACACCCATGACTCATAAAAAAAAAACAACTTTCAAATCAATTTTCGTGTTAAAACACTGAAATTTACTTGAAATATTCTTTTTTTTTTTTTTTTTTTTTTTTTTTAATACATTCTAACCCCAGAAGATAAATTATTTAGCAGTTTGCTGTGTACCTTGCTCCAGGTTTTTTGTGCATGTTCTGTGCAATGTCTGTTGTTCGTTGCTCTGTTCCGGAGTGGTTTGCAATGGGGCAGATTCCTTAATGTTTTACCAACTGAGAAGACTAAAGCAATGTAATGAATTCTGAAGATGACTTAGTGGTGTCTTCCAAATGAAAGTCTTGGATAGCTCCTTTACTTTGAAACTTATTTTTGTGTTTTTAATGGAGAACATAGACCATCCTGCGCAGTGTATTTTTGAAGAGCTCTTGCTAATCCCCAAGGGGTTTCAGCTAGGTGATGTGAGATGTTTCTCTTATAGACTACACTGCTTACTCCTAACATCTGTGTGCACAGGCAGTGAAGAGATGAGTGGTGTAGGCAGGCTTTTGTATTGGTTCTGTTTTATTTCTCTGCAATTAATACCCAGAGTTGCAAAGTCTGTGTTCAGCCTTCAGAGGTTGCCATGTAGTTCCCTAGCTTCCCCATCATAATAGATATCGGTACATCTTTCATCTCTCCACCAGAGAAGGATTTATTGGCAGTTTTGTTTGTTTGTTTGTTTTTGTTACTGCTGTGTGGCTGACAGTGGAAAATACCTGCCATACCTGTAAATCCTATTGAATTAGAATGAGTTGATTTGCACAGGCATAGTGTGCTTGGTGTCAAAGCGCTACCTCATCTGCGGAGTGTAGTTTCCTCCTTTCTCTTTTTCCTTTCCTCCTGTTAAAATATTTGTGAAAGCTGGCAGAGGCTCTGTCACAAAGTTTCAAGGCAAAAAGGTGTAATTTGTTCAGAACATAATGAGTAATTGTGCAGACAAAAATCATACAACCACACTGAAATTTCCTTAGGAAGAGAGATGGTAGCTTGTTTTGGTGGTTGTACTGATTTGGTATGGCAGGTTGCTCGATTTTGAAAAAGCTTGCTCTAGTTAGAACTGTGTAACCAGTGCAGGTATTTAGGACGGCAGTACATGAAGTTCAGATTTTACATTTTAGGCTATCAACAGACAACCTGGTCAGCTATTAATCTGCAGAAAGTGGATTATTGGTGCTCAGGGGGAAGGATGTTAGGAGATAGTTTTGTTCAAATGCTCAGTGGAAGGCGGTTGGTGCAGCACAGCCAGTCCGTACCTCAGCAGAGAATTATAAACGAAACAGAAAAATTATCACAGTAGCTGAAGACTGAGCAGCCTCTATTTTCTAGTTCGTTTTGAAAGTCTTTTCCAGGTTTGTCAGACAAGGCCATCTCTGGCTTACCCTACTCATGCAATCTTACTTAAGTCAGTAGGCCTACTTGGGTGTGCTGAGGGAGGCAAGGCTTTTGTAGGGAACTGGCAGCAGCGTCCGCAACTGATCATTTCTGTATTCTAGGTCTGTCCACCTGGTCCCAGCATTCCAGATCTCGACGTCGGAGGACTTCGTGTTCTAGGCATGAAGATCGAAAACCTTCTGAGGTATTTCTGGAATTTGATTTGCATTCTGTTGCATCTATCAAATGCCAAACATGTACGTGTTCTGGTAATGGATCCATTTCTCCTGAAGTGCATTTTCTTTCCTTTTCGCTCTGTTTTAGCTGGCACCTAGTGTCCCCTCCTCTGCCTTTTTATTTTTGGCCAGGAGATCACAGAGTTCAGCTGTTGACACAGCCACTGCCAGCACCAGTTTCTGTCACTGAATTTTGGCATAGTCTGACATCCATCCAACATAGCTGTGCAGTCTTTCTTGTAATATTTTGGGAATCAGAATTTATTTGTAGCTTGTCTTGCAAACAGTGAAAATTTATCTTAGGTGCATTTATTTCATACTAGATATTGGGTCTTGGTCTGTGATCTTTGTTAATGTGCCTGTCAAATGAGGAATCGGCTTTCTGACAGTTCTGTCTTCCGTAGTGCTTTGAGGAAATCATATAAAGGGAGATGTAAATGGCTTTGAACTTTCTAGGATGGATCAACTATTAGTATAACACATAAATGAGATCCAGTTCTTTGGAAGTATTCATGCTGAATCTCCATACCTTCAGGCAGGTATTATACTGCCAACTCTGAAAAGCCTGCAAAGAAAGCATAAGATTCAGGAGGTAGAATTTCTTGAGTCAGCTTACTTGCCTGATAAATGTACTTCTGATGCATTAGCGAGTGGTGGATGCTGAGAAAAACTGTGCTTTGTTAATCTCCCTGATGACAGTGTATTGAAGTCACAGAGAAGAGTTTTCACAGGAAGACTCCCATTCATTGCTCAGTGTGTTAGAACTACACCTAGTACTGTTGGCTTTCAATCGTTTTCTTTTCTGGTTGTTGGCTGTTAAAGGCTTTTTATTTTTTTTTAGGTGAGTGTGCAGAGCTCTAGTGAATTATTCTTGTTGAAAGTAGGCTTGCTTTCCTTAGCTCTTTTTTTACATCCCCTATAAATAAACTTAGATGCAGTTTTGAGAACTACTTCATGAAAGACTATCAAGAAAGAAACTACAGATCTTGCTGTCGTTTTTTTTTTTTTGTTATGTACTTCAGTTTTCTCCTCTCCCCTTCCTTGCATTTGTTGTCAATGTCTTTCCAGTTTTGTGCTGTTCTTCTCTTGCTTTTTCAGCCTGGATGGGTTTTTGTATACTTTCTTCATATACTTTTTCATATATGTTAGCTCTGTTTCACAGGCATTTAGCCCTCTCCCTCCCTCGATTTGCATTGCCTCTGCTGCTTGCCACAGCACACTCCTCTGACGCTAAGCTAAGCGTGCTGGTGGAAAAGTGTCACTTGCTAAACTCCCTGGGTGAAATCCTGGTCTCACTGAAGTTGGTGGCAAAATTCCCATTGACTTTAGTCTGGCCAGGATTTCACCCCTTAGCTTTGAAGTGCTCTGCGCTTCTGAGAGCCAGCACTTCTGTAAGCTCTGCTTTGCTCCAGGCAGTCTGATTGCATCAGAAATTAGAGCAGAAAGAATGGTGTTACAGGGCCACTGCCCTGGGAAGGAGTTTCTTGGCTGTCAAGTACCATGTTAGCTCTCCTATGAGAGATCTTTGTGACAAGTTTATCTGAGTGCCTGAGTTACTTTGCCTCTCAGATTGAGCAAGTTTTGCATCCCATTTTATATTCTTAGTCTTGTTTTCATTTGACGTTTGATTGCTTTAATTCAAATAACTTAGAAGTGCAGGATCCTCTGGCCAGCTGTGCTTGTTAGTTTTGTGAGACAATTTACTTTGTAGATTATTTTTCATTTCTTGATTGCAGCCTCATAGGACTTGTAATTGGTTCGCTTAAAACACTTCATTATATTTCATTACCTGCCCTCACCTCTTCCTTCATATGGTAATATTGTTCTTTATTTTTTAAGGATAGCATTTTTTTGATCATGTCAAGACAAGTGCTGAGAAAAATGTCATAATTTTATCCTATTTTATATGACAAAACCAGAGTGGAAACAGAAACATTCTGGGACAGAAGTGGGGAGTATGAGTGTTAGGAAGGAGGAGAGGTGTCAAGATACATGGTGTTGTAAGGCAAATCACACTTAAACAGTCTCAGAAATATTATTAACTACCAGATGCATTGTTAGCCTAAAAATCTTACATGATCTATTGAAATTCTGGGTGCGTGAATAGCGTATGATAGAAATTGCTGCCCTTGGGAGGCTTCCCTAATAAACACGTGTGGCTGAGCTTCTTCCCCAGCCATACGCAGCCGTTGGCTGGAACTAATGGAAAAGAGCCAATGTGGCCAGTGGCTTGGGACTGGCTGGGGGACAGGAGGTTGTGGCACTTTGCCCCGTTAGCAGCCGCGTAAGAGCCTAGGAGCACTTTCCTGATAGCCTGCCTTTTCTTTTGTAAGTGCAGTAAGGGGCTGGATAGATGGTGAATTTGCTTAACCTGAACTGAGCAGTCTGCAGGGAAGCTTTTCTTGCAAGTTTTGCCTGCCTTCTTGTGCTAGTGGTGCTCATTTTTAGTCACTTGGTTGCTTTTTAATCCCTTCCTTTGAAAGGGGCATCAAGTAGTTAAAATGTGCAGAGTTGCAGAGGTAAGGTGCAGTTGCTGCAGTTCACAGCAGCCCTGCCTTGCAGGGAGAGCAGGGTGGGGAGAGCTGGAAGATGTGCAGACAAGTGCAGGCATGCACTTCTGCTGCCTGTGATACCACCCTTTGCTTTCTGATGTGCTGACAGGCAGCGGCAAACCAGGCTGAAGCTGCCACAACAGTAGCACAGCATGCCCGCTATGAGAGTGGATCCCTTTTATTTTATTCGGTGGCTTGTGGAAGACAGCATCACTGCTTGTTGGTGACTGCTAACCTAGAAGTTGCCAAGATCATGCTGTTTTCAGAGGTGGATGCTTTTGCAAAGGCAGAGTAAAATTAAGGTATGGTGCAGCAGTGTCGGTAGCTGATAGAATAACAAGCACATGTGTTGAACATCAAGCTGCCACCGGAATTCAAGTTTGGGGCTTATTTTATTTGTCTTCTGGGTTATTTTTTTAAAAATACTTGCACAAAGAGTCATCTTGGTAGAATTTCCTCTTGCGTCTGGTCGTGGTGGAGTCACGCCTTGATTTCTACCACAGGGAATTTGTAGAATGCCTTTGGATTAGTCAGAGCACCAATAATTAAAAGATAATAATGTTGGAGCAAAATTGAGTCTTCCTTATGCTGTTGTTCTAAGAAGACTCAAAGCTCCTGCAGCTTTTATTACAGCCAAGAGGAAGGTAAAATGGGGCAGCATCATTTAGCACCGTCTCTCCAGCATGGGGGGAGCATCAGGGCTCATAGAGGAACTAGCTGGAAGTCATCGTATCAGCATTTGCACCTTCTGCCACCCCTTTCTCTGCGATGAAGCTAAACTTCTGTCCTGCAGTGGGCTGGGTTAGTTCACTGTTGATACAGTGACCTTGTTATGCTCTGTGCTCCATGGTTACCCTGGAGCTGTGAATCATAGAGTGTAAATATCAAATGTCAGTGTCTCTATTTTTCTCTCTTGGTCGCTCTCTTTGCAGGTGTTCAGAACGGACCTGATCACTGCCATGAAGTTACATGACTCCTTCCAGCTGAACCCTGATGAATACTATGTGCTGGCAGACCCCTGGAGGCAGGAGTGGGAAAAGGGAGTGCAGGTGCCAGTTAGCCCAGGGACCATCCCAGAACCAGTAGCCAGGTATAGTTTGGAGGAATGTAAACAAATATACATTTATGCTAGCAGCTTTTGTCTACGTTGCCTTGGCTTCTTGAGCTTTATCCTGCAGTGTCTAGCTAGAAAGGCCTTGGTTCTCAGAGAGAGCAACATGCCTCAGCTTTTTGAATGGTCAGAGGGGTCAAGAGTCAGGCCTGTTCTGCCTGTGTGTTGACATACAAGTGAGTATCAGAGAGTCATTTTTGGCGTTACGTTAGGATGCAGTTTAATGACAGAGCTTTAAAAATCCCTTCCATTGCATTTTTAAGCCCAGACTTGACCTCACTCAGTATTGCTGGGAGAGACCTCGTCTTTGTGTGCAGTTCCAAGCCATAGGTTCTTTTCAGAGAACAATTCGACAAGCCAGATTTAAGAGCTAGAGAAAATACAGCATTTACTTTGGTTTTATGATTTTTTTTCATTTGATTTACTAACTCAGAAAACTGTTTGTACAACGTTTTAGCTGTTTTAAGAACCATCCTGATGTGTGTGTAACTGAACACATTAATGTGAGATTTTCCAGCTCTTATCCAAGAAACCATTATTTTCCTTCCCTTGTTTGTTACACTTAGATGTTGTTTTCTGTTTCAAATTAAACAATCCAGCTGTAAGGGCAGGAGCGCACTGCAGCCCATCTATCTGTTTCATGCTTAGTTGGGACAGGAGTTGGAGAAAGTGAGAAGGATGATTGCCACTTAAACATGCTAGAGCTCTTTGAGTGAGTGCAGGCTGGTGCGTACGGCCTTGCCACGTGACACAGCAGTGCTGAAGGGGCCACAACAGCCCAAGTGCTGATACACAGCAAAAAAATATGGCTTATGTGACAGTGCTTCTGTTAGCTCTGTGTCTGGCAGCTTTAATGTTGCAGGGGGATTGCAGGAGGGTTTGTTTGTGCTTCCTGTGTTCTGTGCAGAAACCTGTAGACAGCTGCACAGCCCCACCAGGCCTGTACAGTGCAGAACTGACCTGCATGGCAGGTAAACCCTTTCCTCTTTCGCCTGCAGAGGGATCAGAGCTGGCGCTCTCCTCAGGGAGGCAGCTCAGTGTTTCCCTGTCTGCTGGGCACTGCAGGGCACAGGAGCGTGCTGTTTGACCATGGAGCTTGTACCCTGCTCCACGCTGCCCTCACCCACAGCCTGTATAAATGCCCCCCCTCTGCTCAGGTGCATTCACGTTGTCTCCTCCTTGCTGTGTTCTTTGAAGTCTGCAGGAGAGCCAGGAGACCTGGGAGCAGGGGGAGACCCTCCCAGGTATTCCCCAACCTGTACCTACCTTAAGTCTGGGGAGGTAGCTGGGTGGCCCTGTCAGCTCCACGTGCTCTTTAGGAGAGAGTCACACTTGTGAATGTGCTCCAAAATTCAGAAATTAAAGGGGATGGGGAAGGAGGGCACCCAAAGATGTGGATGTCAGCACAGGAGGCACTGCTATTTTTTTTTTAGGCGCTGAGCTGTCTTGTGAGGTTTTTACTGGTGAGCACCTGCTGCTCAGTGGCCTCCTGATGCCTGATTCTTACCCTGTTTGTCCCCTCGCAAGATACCAGAGTTATGCTGGAGTGCTCAAACAGTTCTGTGCTTAACTTTGGGAGGGGAGGACGAGGTTACCCTGAGTTGGGTCAGCAGCAGGAGCAGCTGGTGTAGCGTAAAAGGAAAACACAGCCCAGCAGGGTGGGGAAAGGAGTGAGTCCATGCGGTGCTTCAGTGTGAGTATAGCCTCAGACAGGTGATTCGCTTAGTTGAACCTCCTTTTTTGGAGCATTGCAGCTCTTTTTTTATATGTATTTTTTATTTACTTCTGTCTCAAAAATAATGAGAGTAAGGTGTTGTTTGTAAAGCCAAACTACCTGTGCTTATTTCTTCTGTGCCACTACAGTGGTGTATAGACAGTGTGTGCAGCATGCAGCCCAGAGGTTGTAATTTCCACACAGAGAAGTACTCAGGAAGGAATTGATGGTACAGAAGATTCAGCAAGCAGTGCCCCCTGTTTAAAATAAAACGTCTGTGAGATGTAGTAGTCTGTAATATTTTAATACTGTGCAGTATGACCAGGATCAATTCAGGCAGTGCAGTTAGCCTGCCAAAATCGTTCACCTTCTCATTCTTACACAGTTCCCTTCTGCACCACAGAAGCTGAAAATTCAGCATTTGGCTCTTGTCCATTATCTCTCAGGTTCAGATTTTGTCTGAAATAAGCTAGGTGAGGGGAAGGTTTAGGGCTGTGGAGGAGACTGGTTTACAGAGATCTGGTTGTGCAGATGCAGTAATGACAGGTCAGGAGATTTTTTTTTTTTTTTTTTTTTTCGGGGGGTGGCACAGTTGGGAGCAAAACAGGGCAGAGGATGTCCTCCTTCTCGTGGAGCTTTGGCTGTTCCCAAGATAAAGCTCTGTCTGCGTGGGGTGGTGTCATCTCTGCCCCCGTGGGATTGGAGCACAAAAAAATCACCAGTGCTAGTGCTGGGACTGGCGCTGCAGGAAGGAGTCATTTGGCAGCGTGGCCCTGTTGCTCCTGGAGGTATCAGTGTTATACCAGGAACTGGGGTGCACTCGCACTGAATTTTAGCCTGTGCAGCTACCTAAGAGAAGGTGCAGCATCCTCTGCTGAGAGTCCTGCACAGCAGCTAAACCAACAGAGCTGTCTGGCTCTTTGGAGGCGAATCTTCAGCTCACTGGGAGAATGACTGCTGTCCTTCGCCTCCTGGGCATTTCTGCCCACAGTTCCTGGTGCTGCAAAGTTGCAGTAATACAAGAATCTGACCTAGACCAGGTTATGTGCTGTAGGTAGTTCACTGTCTCCTGAACCAGTACCTGTGCTTGAACAAAATCCTGGCCTGCAGCTCAGAGGCGCTTTTGTGTTGTTCCAGTTGGCCGCCTGGAGCCTTCAGACCCTGAGAGGGGGGAGAGGTAGTTTCAGTGCTGATTAATATTTGCGCAAAGATTTGGCGCAGTACGGAATTAGGGATTGTGAAAGAGGAAATGCAGACCTAGGATGCCAGAGCTTGGATCTGTTTGGGTAAGTGAAGGCCAAGCAATTGCAAATTCCTGATTCTCTGTGGGAAAGGGCTTCTGAATTTCACAAAGATGGTGATGCTGTAGCAAAAAACCCTCCCAAACATTCAAAAGCAATGCACTGTAAGAAACAAAACTTTAATTCTTGAATTTTCTTGACCTTGCTATGGTAGTTAAGCAGATGGATTTAAAAAGTCATAAAAAAAGTTTAACACCTGTGTATATGGCAGCCATCACTACCTAAAGACAGACTGTCTAACTCTAGTTTTAAACGAGTATGAAATTCAGGTAAGAGTAACCAGAGTTCTGTCCTCCATTTTTTTCATTTTATTTATAATTCTGGAAATGAAATGGGTTTCTAGATAATTCCAATTAATTTGTCATAATATTGCAGATCCTGTATGAAAATGCAATGTACTGGTTTTTGTTCTCATCTCAGTTGTGCAAGATATGCTTTGAAGATTGATTGCTTGTGCCTGTTAGCCACTTAGCATGAGGCATTTTGAGTTCTCTAGAAACAAGTCGTTCAGCAGCCCAGCATACCTAGTGTGCACTTGTCTGTTTTAGGATTGTGTCTGAGACAAAAGCTGTCACGTTTACACGCCCCAGGAAGTACATTGCTTCGTCGGGCTCGGAGCCTCCAGAGCTGGGCTATGTCGACATTCGGACCTTAGCAGACAGCGTGTGTCGCTATGATCTCAACGATGTGGATGTAGCATGGCTGCAACTTGCCAACGAAGAATTCAAAGAAATGGGTGAGCAATGAGCGTTTTGTTGTTTCTATTTTTTTTTTTAAAGCTGGTAAGCTTAAGAAGAATTTTGCAAGGGGTCAGCAGTGGGAAGAGGTGATAGAGATCTGAAGAGACTAATCACCTTGGGGTTTCTGTGGGAGGCCAGATCTGATGTGATTAAGCCCTAACGTGTATGCTTTCGTAACCGCTCAGTTGTGTTTGCTTAGACCAGGTCAGAATATGGCAACGTGGTCGTGTTCTCTGCTACTTTCTGCTTTATAAGGGAGTTCTCACAAAATTCCAATTTTGCCATCAAGGCCCTTAAGAGCTCATCAGACTATTCATGTAGTTATGTGTATTTTTCTCCATTAAAAAGTGAAATGCTTCCTGATCTGCAGTTGGAGGGCTTGCCTTATGGTGTTCCTGCAGCTATGAATTCCCAATATTTTCTTTGATATCTGCTGCAGTGCTTCAGGTGTTGAAAATGTATAATCTTTCTTTAAAAGCCAGAACACAACATTTGAAATGAAGCCATAGCTCCTTGTCGCGTTAAAGGGGTGTAGCTGATTAACCGTCACGGGCCCGTTTGGATTCAGAGTACTGAACCAGTCGGACATTCACCAAAACTGGGGGTCCGTTCGGACATTCACCAAAAACGTAATAACCGCCTGGGGGTCCGCTCAGACATTCACCAAAAACGTATTAACCACCTGGGGGTCCGTTCAGACATTCACCAACAATGCATTAACCGTCTGGGGGTCTGGTTAGATTCAGAACACTGAACTATCACGGATAACCACCCTCACCCTAGTCGCATTAATGAGAGCTATCACAATGCAATCAAGTATGGTTTATTACAGCAACAGATAATCAGGTTCTCTTGGATTGCCGGCGATAGTGACTGTCTGCAAAAGCAAGCTAGTATGCATGAAATACACAGGTGTTATAGGTGTTACAGATGTGACAGGTGTTATAGGTGTTATAGGTGTTACAGATGTTATAGATGGTATAGATGTTACAGGTGTTACAGGTGTTATGGGTGTTATAGGTGCACCGCCTAGAAATAAACGTGTTGAAAGGATCAAAGACTCTATATAGAGATTTATAAGCAAATATTCAGATCTCACCCAAAGGCGTCCCAATGGGGGGGGAAGAGAGGCTCAGCCCGTCGACTGATCCCAGGAGTCAGGAGGTCCTAAGGATGTTGTATGTCCTTGGGATGGTATCTCCCCTGACAGTGGTATCTTCCCTAACATCCCCTCTCTCTTGGGCCAATTTATATTATTTTCTATCGTTTAGGTGGAGCTTGAGTGGCTCTAGTCAAGCATATCTTAGTTATGATTGGTGTAAAGTTTTCCCGTCTCCGTTTAAAGTAATAGGCTCCGAGAAATTCAGAGCGCATGCTCAGTGAGGGGTGGTCGCACCTTGGAGGCGGGTAGCCTTTGGGATGGAGGTGTGTTTTGGTATTATAATGATATTATAATGAGCAAAAAGAACACTAGAGTACAGCATTTGTCAAAACATGACAGGTCTTTGGCTTAGGGTGGCAAAAAGTGCAGCTTTGTGCACAAGAACAATCGAGGCCCCACCTGATTACAGAGCCTAGCCGTGGTGTCTCCACTCCACTCCACGCTCCGTGGTGTTCCTTAGAGCTAGCACACCAAGTTTCCCCAGCGCGATAGCGTCTAAGGTTGGGAGCCTAGGGAATGCAGTTATGCCCTACCCTGAAAGCCTCTTCAAAGCTGTACCTTTTCCTTAAAAATGTGAATGTTAGTTCTATTTTCCTAGTTACTTCAGGCATTTACACCACACTCCTTCACTCCCATTTTTGAAATCCTTATCAACAGACAGTAGGTGACATCTCTCTAAAGGATTTTTATAAAAAGTGATAGCAGTCACAAGGTTAGAATTTACTTGCAAGCTGGTCTAACTCATGCCATAGTGTGCTTTGCCAGTATAGCATTTTGGGGCTGCAGGGCAACGTTTGCTCTGTTCATCAGCAGGGTTTTGGGTGTTTCCTCCTCCTACCTCAGCTGCTCTGTTTGGGTAGTAAGGAATGCATCGATCTCTGCGGTAAGGTCCTGTTCCCTGAAGGTGGAAACACTTTTGTAGAGTGTTTCTCCTCTGATTTGGGATTTAGGAAGGTTTTTTCTTCAGCATTTTGTGGAATTTGTGGCTCAGTTACTCACAGAGAGAGCCAAAGGAAGAGTTTTCTTGTTCAAATGCGTATCATGAGGTTGCCATCTTCTGTATGTCACAGTGAACATTAGGTATTAGGAGTTAGGCAAAAGTAGGGTGTCATCCTAAGCCTACGCTTCAGTGTAGTAATCTAAGAATATGGAAATTCTTGCATTAAACTGACTTTGCAAGGGGAAAATGACTGGTGTATTAGCATGGCTTTCTTGGTTTCACAAGGGTTTGTGTCGTAATGTTGTGGTAAGGGTCAGTGTAGTACCAACGTGGAAGCATTACATCCAACTCATCCTTATGGCAAGTGAGAGATGGAAGATGGGGGAAGCACTGTGCACTTTACTTTTCCTTCTGCTTCTCTGGCAGATACTTTCTTGGGATTATAATTATCACTTCATAATTCAGATTTGTTAATTATATTGCATAACATAACATAATTATATTGCATAATGGAGCTGTAGTCACTAATAATTTTCTGATGGACACTGCAGAGACCAGTTCCCCGATTTGATGCTGCATTTATTACACCTCTGGTTTTCACTTTTTCAAACAAATCTATTGGTGTAGCAAGATCTGATGGGGACCTCTATGGGGTTGCACCCTGCTGGGATGGAACTTAAGAAATAATAGGAGAAAAAAAAAAAAAGAAAAAAACCTGTTGTTAGAAACTGCTAATTTGGTATAAATATCATACCAGATTTTGTCATTGATTTTGTTTTTCCATCACTTTTTGTTCAAAACTCTGTCAAATCTTTTACTAGAGATTGAATATCTGGGTTGCAAAATTGCAGCAAAAGCAAAAGCTATAGATGTTGTTGTCCAAGAAGGAAAAATGAGAACAAGACCAGGAAGCCAAAATCAGTCTATGAGTTTCTTAGAGGATTTTGAAAAATAGGTTTGAATACTCTGCTTCTATTAATTTAATATAGTTATACAACTTCTTGACATTTTTTGCAGTTTCCCTAGTTTGTGCTGGAACAGGCACGATTGTCTAGGGGTGAAATATGTGTGTTTGTGGTGGGGGCGGGTGGGCTGTATCTACTCTGGTGTTAAAAAAAATTATCTGGAGTTGTGCGTAGTGGTGGTGGTTGTTCCCTTTTAATAAATAAATCCTGTTTCCCAGGGATGCCTGAGCTGGATGAGTACACAATGGAAAGGGTCATAGAGGAGTTCGAACAACGGTGCTATGACAACATGAACCATGCTATCGAGACAGAAGAAGGACTTGGGATTGAATATGATGAAGATGTTGTCTGTGACGTCTGTCAGTCTCCAGATGGAGAAGATGGCAACGAAATGGTGTTTTGTGACAAATGCAATATTTGTGTGCATCAGGTATGGCGGCCAGGGCACAGCAGGGGAGTGCAGGGGTAGCAACAGAAACTTTTCTAAACTGCTAAAGATGATAGGTTGGATTTTTCCATTGACAGACACTGATTTATTAAGTTGGTGCAAAGTTCTCTATTGAGCAGTGGGATGAATTCAGAAATGATAAAATTGAGAAAGACAGTTATTACATGTGACTGTAGAAATGTCATACTAAGAGGATTAAGAAATGGTATTGTTACAATACAGACAAACAACAAGGAAGTTAGAAGGTAAGGAGTAGCCTCCCCAAAACATGTGCCTTGTTGTACATTCTCACCTGGTTACTTCTCTTGCTTTCTTCTTGCTCTTTCTGTGCACCTACTGACCCGAGCTGAGCTAATGAAGCACTATTGTGTGGCAATTAAAAAGCCTTTTTAGCGTGGAATTACAGATCCCGTTTTGGTTTATCTGTTTTCTTGGCTGCTTCCTGCTGTGGAAGATGCCTTCCTGTGAGCTTGTTGTTCCTTCCCAACTTAAGTTTGCTTTGTCATTCACTGTTCAGAAAGCTGTGTTGTTTGGTAAGCAAGAGCAGCATTGTCTTGCACGCGTTACTTAAATGTATTTGTACAAGTGAAATAACATCTATGAAAGCTGTAAGGTAATTTACCTTACAATTTAGCTTGCTCTGCAAGCTAATGTTTCTATAGTGTTATAAATTCCATTAACAATGTTTTGAGAGTTTTGAAAGGCTACCTGTGATCACAGCTAAGAAGTAACAGAAATGCATGTCATCTCCTCTGTCCGCTTTCTCTTTCCTGTGAACGGGAGTACAGGCATGTTACGGGATCCTGAAGGTGCCGGAGGGCAGTTGGCTCTGCAGGACTTGCGCGCTCGGTGTTCAGCCCAAGTGCTTGCTGTGTCCCAAGAAGGGTGGTGCCATGAAGCCGACCCGGAGCGGCACCAAGTGGGTTCACGTCAGCTGTGCTCTGTGGATTCCAGAGGTAGGCATGGATCCGCTGGGAGTGTCCCTCTGTTGAGTGCTGCTGTAGTTCTGGGAGAGAGGGAATCTGATAAGAACACTGCTCAGCCTAGCGTGTGTTGCTACAGCGACTTGCATGTGTATATGTGGTGCTTCCTAGGAAGTCAGTATAAAAGACGTTCAATGTAAAGTCTGGCAGGATAATGCATCATCTGTAAAGAAAGTAATTTCATTAAGCTTTGTCAATCAAAATTAGGCCTCAGAAGGGATGACTGATGGCAAAGCTCATTTAATGAGCACACAAAGTACTGTTTCATTTTGTACACCGAACATTAAAGGTGAAGAAGGGGGAAGTTTGGATGTGACAATGAGAATTCCTATGGCCTTTATAATCAAAATGGTTATTTTTTGCAATAACTTTAAACTGATGGGGTGTCACCTAGAAACTAGTTTGATCATTCAGTGAGGAACTGCTTTTTAAAAACAAATTGTAATTCTTTTAGTTTCTTACAAACCGAGGAACTTGGAATATGCAAATTTTGCATATGCATGCAGGGAATTGGATTTCTTTGATAAGATTATTTCCCTTTTCAGTTAAAGGTGTAATAATTGCTCTGGTTTTTAATATTTTTTCTCTTAGGTGAGCATTGGAAGTCCAGAGAAAATGGAGCCCATTACAAAAGTGTCTCACATTCCCAGCAGTAGATGGGCATTGGTGTGCAGCCTTTGTAATGAAAAAGTTGGGGCTTCTATACAGGTAAGTTAATAGTATGAGTATCTCTCTGTTTAGTTTTGTTGGGATTTTGTAGATAGGCACGTGTATTCTCAGTAAAGTTTCTTGGATTTAATGTTTGCTACTATGGACTAAATTGCACACAAAGAGCTTTTGAAAGTTAGTGTGCTCATTCCTTCTACTAAAATTTCAATAAAAATAGTCAGGTCATCCCATAAAATGTTATAATCTGTAGATACATAGATATGTTTATTAGTACACTTGAAATAAAACTTAAATGCTGTTTAGTAGAAGGATAAAATAAATTTCTGTGATGTATGTACGACATGCATAATTGAAACTTGGATGCTGAAAGCTTCTGTGCTGAAACCTATGTTAGCCCCTGTTCAGTGACTTCTAAGATGAGGTAGATTCTTCAGTAGAAGTTGTATAATCGCTTCTAACAACTGAAATTTTAAAGGTGCTGAGCATGCCAAGATTTTACTAAAGTCAGTGGAAGCAAACACCTTCACTTTGATGATGAAGCTAGTTGGTTTTGAATTTCTGATTTTAGGTACTAAACATCGGACTGTTTTGGCTGTCAGTATAGTTGGGATTAGAGTGATTTCAAGCTCTGTTTTTATTACAAAGAAGGCAGTGAAACTACAGGCCTTTGCCTTTTTTTCTGGATCTATTTTATTCATCTTAATGTTGCTTCAGCTTTTTTAATTTACTGAGGAGAATATATGATCAGTTAATAACAAGCTTTTTGAGCAACAAGAAAGAAACATTGCTGGACTGGTCTGCCCCAAGATTCAGGCAAGCCACAAGTTGAGGGATTGAGCCCCATTTCCTCCATTGGTTGTGGGTAGATCCGGAGCTCTTGTTTCCAGGGAAAAACAAACCAACCAACCTCCTGGGTGTCAGTTTCCCAGCTCATGTTGCTACAGAAGCAGAGCCACATTATCCTTCTGACTTCTGATACTCACCTGAGCTCAGTGGTGATGATTGCCTGCAACAGTGAGATGGGGCAGAATCAAAGAAAAGTGAAAGTCTAGTCTTTGCATTTCCAAAAAGAATGATGTCCATAGGCAATATATAAGCTATAAAGCCAATGCTATAAAGGCAGTTGTTTTGTACCAACAACTCACATTCTTGGGCCAGTGCCAGTTTGGCTCACTGCATAGTTCTGAAATTCTCTCTGTAGTTTCAATTGGACATGGCCACAGCCTGTCTCACTGTAGCCTGTGAATTGTTGTCACTGTTAAATACACTGAATTGATCTGTACCAGAGCATTTCAGATTGGGCAGTGTGGTTTCATGTGCATAATTACATTGGATTATTAACTGTAAAGCATTTGCAGATCCTTTATATTTTTTTTTAAAAAAAAAAAAGCTTTGAAATGTGAAGTGATAATTTTGAAAACAATTCAATCTAGAGATTGAGAAAACATGTTATTAAACCCTACATTTTTTTTTGAAGAGGATCTATCCGCTTTCCTTTCCTGAGAGATCAGACAAAAGTTTAACTTACTTGAGAAGAAGTGGATGAGAGAAAGGGAGAGGTGAGCCACTTAGGGCAAAGTGTTACGACCATGTAGAAAAATGTAATAAAGTGTAGGTTAGAATTTGCAATAATGCTTGCTCACCTTCAAAATGTTTCAAATACTTAAGGAAATGATCATCATAAAGTTCCCTGAGCCAGACAGGACGGTACTGCTGCCTATTTAGCAAGTAAGCAGCCTGAAGTAGAACTCTTACTATTTTGTGGTGAGCGTAATGTTACAGTAACTGTGATGGTAAGGCACAAAGATGGCTAAAATCCTATTCCTCTTAAAGATCAGATTTTATTCATTTCCCTTTTTCCTCTATTTTGAGCCATTTGATAAAGTAGCCAGAAAAAGTTGTAAAACAGCAATGCAGCAGTAGTTACAGTGAAATCAGTCCATTTCTATTCAAGGAATGTATTAAAAAAGTACATTTTGAAGTGGAGAAATCTGTCGACAGTATGTAAATTTGTAAATGTAGTACCTCCTTGCAGGAATTGTGTAAATCTTAGTATCATTAAAGCTAGCAATGAGAAAATATTTAGGTTTGTATTGTGAAATCTTATATGGCAGAGAACATCATTTTACAAAGTCACTGCACTATGAAGGAATAGCATTAACAGGATGAACTAAGAGAGAGCAATTCTTGATCCTCCAGAGATGTTATGAAATGTTCACAGTAATTAGAAAAGACAGCAGCTGGAAGTACATACCAGGCTGGGCAGAGACCAGCTGGAATACGCTTGGAAAAACAAGACTGCAGAGTCTCCCAAGTTCAGCAGCTTTCATTCTGATGATGCACACTTGCCCCCCTCCTCCCAATAAAACATGAGCCACACTGAGAGCTAATTACTCTAAATGATGGCGGGTTGGAAACCATAGCTGGAGTATTCTTCTGTATGGTTTGGTACAGCTTTTGCCCTGTTGGTTAGAGAGAGGAAAGGACAAAAGATGCTTTTTATTTTTTTTAATTCCTTTTATATGTTGATTTTTAATTAAAGAATATTCATTTGAAACTTCTGCAGTTTAGTGTACCTTTCATATGCCCGCTGGCTGCTGAGTCAACCTGAGCAGGAAAATCCAGGGAAAGATACTTGGCTTCTTCACAAAGTACTGTACAAACATCTTAGTGCGGTGCATTTCTCTTGAAGGTTAGATGAGTTGTGGTAAGCATAGTTTCGTTTCCTCCTAGTTAATATCAGTAACATTCATTTAAACTTCAGATTCTTTTCACTGGAGGCAGACAGAGGTGTGAGTTAAATGTGTGTATGTGTGTATCTAAACCTTTCAGTTTACAGCTGGCAATAGCTAGAGCAGCATTTTGCAAGAGAAAGTATAACTGAAATGTAGTGCTAAGTCATCTGACCTGGTGCCCATCGCTCCAGTGAACAGCTGGTTGACTGGGAACGAAGAAAAGTGGAAAAACAACCCTGAATTTTCCATTCTTCTCATCCCCCAGGTGAAGTGAAGGCTGTGAGCAAGCAAAGTAGGGATTGACAGTGATACAATATTTGACATCATAAGCTTTCCATAACAGGAAAAGAAATACCTAGTCAGTTGAGGCCTTTTGGGTAGTATGCATGCATCCAGATGCTGGGAAAGACTTTCAATTAAACTATCAGACTGGCCTGCAGCCACTGAGGTGTTTTTTTCCCCTCTCTCATGCTGGCACAGTCAAAGGAGGAACACTTTGCTTTGTGTAACGCTGCTTTAAGTGAGTGGCTCTGCTTGAGGGTTTGCTGGTTATTGAATAGTGTGGTTGGGCTAGGGAGGGGCTAACCACTCCTGTCCCACTGGGCCACTTGGTCGTTGCCTGGCCTGAAAGCACTAAATTGTAAACCTAATTAAAAGAGAGCAAGAAAGTACATGCAGCTTAGAAGCAGAGCCTGGTAATGGGGTTGCTCTTCCAAAGCAGTCCTGGCCGCTTAAATAGCTTTAGGTACTGTGGCTTCTTAGTATTTGTATTTGATGAATTTTCCTCTAATTTGTGCAGTGTTCAGTGAAGAACTGCAGAACAGCCTTTCACGTCACCTGTGCGTTTGACCGTGGCTTGGAGATGAAGACGATACTGGCAGAGAACGATGAGGTGAAATTTAAGTCGTACTGTCCCAAGCACAGCTCCACCAAGAAAGCAGATGATGAGACCTTCAGCGAGAGCCCGGGACAAGAGAATGGGAATGGGATTCAGGACAGCTCTCTTCCTGCCCACATCGACCCTTTCCACAGCATGGATCAAAACCAGGAGGAGGCCCACAGAGTCAGCCTCCGCAAGCAAAAGCTCCAGCAGCTGGAGGACGAGTTCTATACTTTTGTTGAGTCTTCGGAAGTGGCTAATGTGCTGCGGCTGCCTGAGGAGCCGGTGGGATTCCTTTACGAGTACTGGAAGCTGAAAAGAAAAGCCAACTTCAATAAGCCTTTGATTACCCCAAAGAAGGATGAAGAGGACAATCTGGCCAAACGAGAGCAGGACGTTCTGTTCAGAAGGCTGCAGCTCTTCACACACCTCCGGCAGGATCTGGAGCGGGTAAGCCACTGCACTGCCTGTGCTTGTGCAAGGTGTGCTGGGCTTCGTTAGCTGTTTCTAAACAACATGCTCAGTTATTGCCACTGCATGCAGGCACCCCCTGCAACTCGAGGTGGTATTGTCAGCTTGGTACAAGATGGTTAATGCTATTTCTGTTTAAATTTCAGAGCCAATACTTGGTTATGTCAATTACCTTTTTCAGCCAGAGGGTTAGTTCACAGGGCCCTTGGCTCTTGGTTTGCAGTATCCTGTCCCCTTACAACTGGATTGTGCACTGAGGCTTTTTTTTTTTTTTACTAAGTAACACTGATGGCTGTGGAATGTACTGCAACCCCCAGATGCCCTTAGGGCATTCTCTGCTCCTTTTGCCTTGTGCACAAGAAGGGAAGAGTATGAAACTTACCTTGATTTGGAGCAAGTGTGTTTCCTGTTGGCACAGCATGGTAGGACGCTATTTCACTGGACTATCTGTATGTAGTAGGTTTGGTAGGCTGTTCCAGTCGGTTAGGTTCAGATTTGTTTGATTTTGGTTGATAAGCTAAAAACAGTTGAATAGGATCAGTAGGGTGTTCTAACCACATCTGATCCTGAAATCACCTGAATTCCTCTTCTTTTTTTCTTTTTAAAAAAAACAAAAACAAACAAAATCAACAAAAAATACTAGAGACACTAAGGAATGTAAGAGCCAGGAAGTGTACTACAGTTTGTTTAGTTTTTCATGTATATCCAGTGTCCAGCTCATGCAGGCCACCAATAGAACCTGACTCACAAAGTCCTGCCTTAACAGGGTTGGTGGTGAACAAGAACCTCTTCCAGAATTGTATCTAGTCTTTCAGTCTGGGCAGCAGGTGCTAATAGATCTATCTGCTGCATCCTTTGTAAAGGATCTGAGTGGGTAACTGTTCTTCTAATGAATTGCTGTTGTAGGTTTTTAAATATTTTTTTCTTCTGGTTTCAACTTCCGGCCTGTGATCCTTCTCTCCCTGTGTTAGATTGCTGCTACCTTGTGTATTTTGTTTTCTGTTCAGCGTGTTCAAGATCTTTTTTATTCTTCCCTTTGATCAGTTAAACAAGTGGAGTTTATCACTGTTCTCTGGGTCTTAAATGATTCTGTATGTATCCTTTCTGTTTTTAAAGTACGGTGTCAAAACAGGATACATCGTTCTAGCACCACTTTTAATATTTTACTACTCTATTGTTCTCACTGATACATACATCAAAGAGAACTCAGATGCTAAAAAAAAAAAAAGGGGCCTATTTTTTTGCTCTTCTTCAGGTTGTCTGTTAGACTTCATTATGAATTACATTAGTGATAGTGTCACCCATCTAGAAACATTTCTAAATGGTGTCATCCAGTTCACCTAATAAAACAGGTAATTTTGTGGACAAGATGTGTCTTTGTTCTGCGGCTCGGATCAGACAAGGAAGAGAACAAAAGACTGTGAACTGTACCAGGAAGGGTAACAGGTTAGACGAATGCCTTCCAATTCAAATCCACAAAGTAATGACAGCTGCTGAATACCTGAAGTGCTGTCTGGGCCAGGACTGGGAGCCTAATACAGGAGACCCTCAACACACATTGAAGTGAGTCTCCTCCTCAGCGAATTTGAGATCAGCCCATAAGGCTCTGATCAACAGCACTCCTTTCACCATGTGTGACTACGCTAAATTGAGAGAGGAGCCTTGAAAACAATCCCATAAACTCCTCAGTGATCCCCATCACTACTGTTAAGCTCTGAGAGTGGCAGCTGTGAAAGTAAGTTCTTACACTACTGCTAGATTAGAAAGTCACATTTTAAGACCAGAGATGTAGTTCTCTTCTGAAAAAATAGCCACTGTCAACATAAACATTTTGCTGTTTTCATTCCCTGCCACCTCCCCGGTGCTATGGCATGGATGGACTGGCCTGCCTTCATTTTTAACAATTACCATACAATGGCAGGGTCAATATAAAGAATGGTACCAGTGAATAGGCCTCCACATTTTCATACTATATTAAGTATTTCTTGTTGGGTCTCAAACAATAGGGAACAAGTGGTGCTGGGCTATATAGTACTGAGCATATTTAAGCATTTTCAGCATTTCTCTAGATTTGTATGTGTGTGTATATATACACATGTACATATATACATATGATACAAGCGTTCATAGAATTTACTTCTGCACTGTGAGCCTCCAAAATCCGATAGACTAAGCTGTCAATTAAATGGTATTTAAGATTGTCTTGTAATATATATATACATTTAAATTTATCCTTCAACATACCTTGTTAAAATGGTGTAGCGTGCTTAAGCTGAATTAATTTGAACCACTGAGTTACAGCATTATAGAAACACGATTCCTTTAAAACTCATCAACTTGATGCCTTCTAGGTGCGTAATCTCACTTACATGGTGACCCGAAGGGAGAAAATCAAGAGATCTGTTTGCAAAGTTCAAGAACAGATATTTAACATCTACGCAAAGCAGTTGGAACAAGAAAGAGTTTCAGGTATGCTTCGGCATTTATCTTTTTCACACACCACCACAGGCACAAGCATTGAAAGATTTGGCTAGAGACTAATGACTAATTTTGAAGGACAAGCAGGACCTCATTTATTCTCATTAAAATCTCGTATAGTCCACCAGGCATTGGCAGACTGGAATTAAAAAATGAGAATTTGCCTAGCGCTAATGGTGGGCATGCTGCTATAGAAACCCATTTTTTTGCGCTCTTACCAATGGGCACGGAGCAGCTTGCTGCTTCAGGTCCTGTCTGCTGTGAGTCCTTAATGGCTCCTTCTACGACAGAGACACTGTGACTTACATTCAAGTGCCATATGCTGTCTAGGAGGTTTGTGCTTTATCAGTGCCACTGCATTTAGTATTTAGTACATGTTTCTTTGCAACAACGTACTTCTTTCTGCCTAATCTCACTGACAGTAGTCTTTTCTCCTAGAGGAGCAACTTCAAAGTTACCGTATTAACTAGGAAACCAGGAAATAGCCACACAGTCATGGTGTAAAGATGCTGGGTAGGCAGCCAAACACCCACTTACATTGAAGAATGGAGTTAAATAAGTACAAAACAAAAGTTATGTTTGCCCAGACATGGACTGCTTGACTCTAACCCAGTGTGTTTACATTTAGGTGTGCCTTCCTCATTCTCGTCAATGGAAAACGTGGTGTTGTTCAATAGTCCATCTTTGGGTCCCGACGCCCCTAAGATAGAGGATTTAAAATGGCATTCTGCATTCTTCAGGAAACAAATGGGCACATCTCTAACGCACTCTTTGAAAAAAACACACAAGAGAGACAGAGTAAGAAATAGCTCTGGGAACAACAGCAAGTCCATGCTGAGGCAGCCCAACCAGAGGGAAGGTGGCGCGGCTCCAGGTAGCTTTTTAAATTTTGACAAGACCTTTGCAGAAACACGGATTGTATCAGCACAGCAGAAAAACGGCATAGTTATGCCAGACCACAGAAAAAGAAGAGACAATCGTCCACAATGCGAGGTAATCAAGGCAGAACTAAAGGAAAAAACTTCCAAACACAACCACAAACCACTGAGACCCACGGAACTCTCTCAGAGGCAATCAGAAAACAAAAGGGCTGTGAACCACTCCAGTGGTAGGTCAGCACCTGGCACACGGAGAGATATAGTGCCTAAATGCAATGGGGGTCTTGTCAAAGTAAACTCTAATCAGACAGTAGTTAAAGTGCCTACGACGCCCACCAGCCCGGTGAAAAACTGGGGCGGATTCCGAATTCCAAAGAAGGGGGAGAGGCAGCAGCAGGGCGAGAGCCCAGAGGAGACATGCCGCCAGAACTCCAGCTACCCCTACCTGGGCATGGGCAGAGTTTCACCGAAGGACAGGGCAAAAAGCAAGCTAAAGCCTGACAGCGAGAATGATGGGTACGTCCCCGATGCAGAAATGAGCGACTCAGAAACTGAAGTGGCTGAAAAAAAATGCAGGCAGCAGAGGCTCAGTCCAAACAGCTCTATCAGCAGGAGAACGGACATTATTAGGAGAAGCATCTTGGCATCCTGACGGGGCAGCGCGGCACCATGGTCAGTAGAGTCACTGCCTACAAGCCAACTTCACTTTATTTATTGGTGTGAGAGGGGAGAGTTCTTAGACGTGACTACGGACTGACAGATTGATAACCCATTATTCCCAAGCTGTATAAACATGTTTACATACTCTTAAAGCTGGATTTGTTTGCTCCCCAGCTCATTCTGTGACAAGTTTCTATCTCCTTTATTTGCAACCTTTCCGGGCAAGCAGAGAAATGACATCACTACTAAACCAGGATGATGAACACTAAAGTAACTCACAGAAACATTTAGGGGGGATAGGGTGGGTAGGGGGAAGTAGGCTGCATTCATCCCTTTTAGCAAAACAGCACTGTTACAATTCTCTTACCTTCCCCTGCTTTTCAGAAAAGCACAAGCTCTTAATTTAACTAGTGTGTGTATTGAATCAAAGATGGTTATTTATTTAACCATATTGCACTGCTACACCCCCTTAAAAATGGTCACTTGCCTTGGATTGGTGGTAGGTCTTTGTCCTCCATTTGCAGAATGTTTTTGTTGCACTCAGTTTGAGAACAGGTGGCAGCCAAAAACCCTCCGCAAGCTCCAGTCTAGGTGCAACTGGGTCTGCGAGATAACCAGACGTAACTGAGGTGTTACACTGGAGAAAAAGGAAGGGGCAGGTCAGGGCTGCAGCTGCCATACACTGCAACCGCTTCAAGGTACTCAGGCTGAGTGTGTAGCTTAGTTCTGAGAGAGGGGGCAGGCTTGTGGGTTCCTGGGCCCTCTGGCATAACCCGCAGCATTTAGTCAGTCACCTGCCTCCTGGAATACATTGACAATTTTAGAAAAATTATTCTAAGGCACTAGTCATTAGGATTTCCCAAAGCCCACCACGTATGCACTAATAATGGTATGTACTGGGAAAGCCAAGCTTATGACACTAAAGGGTTACTTTAAAATGGACATAAATATATATTTTTAAATAAAATGGAAAGGCAATAAATTGTGATTAGCTCTTTACAGTCAAATGAAGAAAAAAGTATTCTATTCTGGACTAGATTTGATGGAAGAGGGAACTCATATGCATACTTTTTTTTTAAATAATTGCAAATGGCAATAACTAGTAAGCTATGAGCAATAATATTAGTAGTTCATTATTGTACTTTTTGTACTGAGTGCACATGTAACTGGATTGTTAGAAGCCTGTCAATTTGGAATTCTGCATAGATTTAAGTCAGGTATGTACTGGTTAAAAGGAAGTTTAAGCAGGCAATGTGCTACAGAAATACAGGCATAAAGAACAAAATCCCATTATTTTTCACTCCTAGCCTGCCCTTACCACGTTCACTTACATTTTAATGTTAGACCCTTCCGTCTTGAGCAGGGAAAATTCTAAAATACAGTAGAACTCTGCCATAAATGAGTCTTCCAGAGGATTCAATCAAAAAAAGGCTTATTAACACCCCATCTTGCTATGCAAGTTACCGCTTACTTACACATTTTGACAGAATGCGTCCCTGTCATTTGTGTTTTAAAAGTTTTAAGTCTTGACCTTTTGATAGTGTTTGGGGTGACGGTGAGAAAAGGGTATTTTGTTTAACATGGTATATTTCTAAAATACCATTGCTGGATCCATGAAGTTGGATTGACCTCACGACTCACACAGGTTAAAATTAAACAGGGCACAGGTGAACGTGAAATGATGTAGTTGCTCTTGGGATGTGATCAAATGAAAGCACTTACCTGATCAGCAACCGACAGACAAAAGGTAAGTGCAGGTAGTTCTACTTGACATACAGCAACATTTTCAAGGCAGGCATTGCTATTTTCTGTAAGAAGCTCACGACCATGTAAGGAATTGTTTGTCAAGCCATAGATGGAATAATCTAAATTTTGATTCTAAGTAAACATTTAACCTCACACCGATTTGTAAGAGGTATCTTGTTAATTTGCACTATTATGAATGCTAACATTGTGCAGAATTAATGCCTTACCTGTTCTGCTCCCTGATGTTTAGGTTAATAAGCTTTTTAACGTTTCAAGTTATGCTGAACCAAAACCAAAAAAGCTCTTTTCCCCCACCCCAATTACAAAAAGCTGTAAGATGACTGCAGTGTGACCAGATCTGTAGGATAGTTTTGTCTCCCATGCTTAGCACTCAACAAAGAGGTGTCGTAAGCAGCAGTGACAATACAAACCCACGCCCTCTGTTCTATTGGGATAGACCATTTGCTTAATTTCTGTTTCTGAGCATTACCTTTCCTTGTGCAGACTGACCAAGAAATCTTTGATTATGATTGGTGTATTATGTCAAACTGTAGGCTAGTTGAACTTTTTGTAAAGTTGCCTGGAATGCCATTTGTTAGGTTATGAACTCACACAAATCTAAATGAAGGGTTATACGTGTTGTGTACAAATCTTAATTTCAGAAAATTGAAAAATTTGTCATTACATTTGTAAAACCTTGTACAGAAGATTTTTCACTATGTGCCTAGCTTTGGTGTCCATTCAGCTGAAATTAATTAAAAAAGGTGCATGAAGAGAAACAGATAGAAATAAAAAGTATATGTAGAGATGACTATTTTATATTACATGGCCCAATCCTGTATTTATTTTACCCCTTTTTTGAAGTATTTATAAAGACCTAGTTGAAGACAGCTGTATTTTTTGTTAAAATATTCAGTAGAATTGTGCCTTTTTGTCTGTATGTGAATAAATGCTGTAAATTTTTGCAATATGTTTGCAACAGTGGTTTACAATAATGACTTTGGGTTTTCACATATACACTTAACTGCAATGATTTCAACAACTTTCATGGTTACAAGAGGCATTTAATTTGGATCACTACAGGTATCAAAATGCATGCTAAGGTTGCAAGAGAAAATATTTTGTTTAGGAATAGTATAGGGCTTCATTACTGACAGCTGTGCCCACCCAGTCAACAGCAAATTGCATACTTACTTTTTCTTGGTATCTTCAAAGACATGTTGCTTACCTCCAAGAATTTCAATTCTTTGATATACAATGTCCTTCCGAAGTCCAAAATCTTCGTTCATGTTCCACTGGAAGGGTAAGTCAGGTTTCTTACCTGTTAACTCTGCAAGATAAGCAGGCTGAATGGACAGACACCCCACCAAGTGCCTGTACTCAGCAATGCAAGATGTTAGTTGCTATAGCACTTCTTATGTAATGGGAAGCACAGCATCACACTAGAGCATCTTTAAAACACTCATGAACTAGCATTAGGGTGGGAAAGGAAGGCAGGGGAAACCCAGACTCTTCAAAGACATATAAAAAGAAATACATAAATGTAAAACAGCCAAGACATGTTTCCAAAGACCACTCTTTGACTCCATTAAATCACTAGGAAAGACAAAACTTACCTAAGCTGAAAAATCTCGACTGTTTCAGCTCTGAACAGCCATTGTGGGCGGTGTGCCAGAAGACCCCTGAGGAAGCCAAACTGAATGAAGTGGAGGGGGTGGATGATGAGCTAAACTTAGACCACACACCCCTTCCTATCTGGCCAATTTTTAGTTGCTCAGAGAACCAGGCAGACAGATCAAAGAGAGAATCTGATTCTTTCCAGTTTCATCTGCCATGACTGCTCTGATGCCCCTTCACTTTACTCTCACATGCTTGTGTTGTAATTCATACTCCAGCAAATAACCCTTACACAAGAGCTTCATCAAAAGCTAAAGTGAGTAGTAGCCGCCATTAAAAGCTAATGAAGTCTTGTGCCTCCAGAAACAAAGGAACAAAAATACTGTTGCTTAAAACCACACAATTATCTGCCAATTTCAGCCAGGTTTCACCTCACAGAGCATCCTTTAAGGAGTGACTGGGATTCATAGCTCACACAAAATCTTCCAGGTTGTCTGTCAGCATTTCAGATGCACATTACACAAATGAAAGTTAAGGTGCCTGGTACTTACCTCCCTCTATATCATATACGTGGTTGATGAAAATCTCGCTGCAACAACTGTCTGGGGTTTCATGACAATATAATCCATTTGCTTTAAAAATCTTTGAAGTCTTAGCAAAACTACAGATTACGGTGGATGCAGGCCTATATCAGAACTGCAAAAGCATGAGCAAAGAAGTGTGTGCAACTCTAGAAGTAATAACTTCCTCTGAAGGTAATCAGAATTTTTCCTTGAGGTTGCTTCCATCTTATAGGCTCTACTTTAACAGACTAGCATGCTTTTCTGGAGATGCCACAAACATACTTCCACATGGTGATCAACCCCCATCTGTCCTCTAAAACACAAAGGCAATGAAGATCCACTATGACAGACACATGGTCTTTGTTATCCCAAAACAATGCTTTTCAGCAAGCACTAGGTAAGCAGGGTAAGCATTATCCATCAACTGAATTAGAAGCCATAAAACAGAACTACACTCTTCACATTTAAAAGGGATGACAAGAAATTAAATTTAGTTCAAAATGACAGCACTTCAAAATTAGTTACATGTATCACGTTTATAATATACGCTGAAAGAAAATAGTTCAGCTAGAATTTGAGGATAATACGTATGAAGTTTCTCATCTATCAAAGAAAAAACTTGAACACAAGAGGATTGTCACATACTGGCATCTGTAGAATTCAAACACACTATGTAAAAGTGTGTAAAAGCTGGATGATCACCCTTGTGCAAATTCAAGTACCAGAGAACTAAGGTTCCCAGACATACACAACCCAAGACAGCACGTCAACACAAAAGCAAGGAACAATTGAAAAGTTGTAACTAGGGGAGAGGGAAAAAAAAAAAAGCACAACTGAAGAAAAATTAAGGTCCTTAAGAACTAGCTGTAAGAATAATCATAAATAAATAACTTTATTTATTAACTGTTTCCCAGGGACATCACAACAAACTGAAGTGAATTCGTAAAAATGGAAGGCAACGGAGGCATTTCCCAGTTACAACACCTACCATAAAAACAGCAACTGTTTGACATTCATGATGTAATTGGTGTCTTACTACACCTTGTAAAAGATTTTCAAAATGTTCCCAAGTTACTGCACTACCAAAAAAGTGGTATTAACAGTATGCGAACAAAGCTTCTTAAGAATTTCAGTGTAATAACATCTATTGCCTGTAAACACTTCTGTAGCTGGATATAGCTGGTATTTTTTTTTTAAGACCAAAACTGACCAATATGCCACAGCACTGTATCAGAGTGTTTCATCTGCTACATTAAAGGACTTTAATTACATCATTTTGCAGTCTTCTCCCTATCTTTACTACTCATGCAGAGACAGAATCTTCATCCACCCTTCCTTCTTACCTGAGTAAAACAGAAAATGTTTATGCAAAGTTTTACAAGCCTTGCTATGCATTTGCTTTTAATGCTCCAATACAAGATTTCTCCAGCAATCTTCTTAACTCCAACATGGTGTGAATGACACAATACATCTTTTTAAATGTTTTCCAGTTCCTTTAGCGAAGCAGCTTTTTTCTTCTGTGAAGTTATGACGCTAAGCTGTAATTAAGAACAAACAGATAGCTTCCTATAATTTTTTTTAAGATCTAAGTAACAGTACAGATTCAATATGGAAAATGTCATGGAGAGGGAACAAGCTTAGTTAAGTTGGTATTTGGGGTAAACAGAAGAATTTATTATGCATTTTGTAGATGATTACTGCTTGTATCTTATTTCAGATCTCAAAGAATTACAGATGATGAAAGATTAGGTAGTACGCTTAAAGATATTTATATAGAATACACACATTTTAAGTCTATGCAAACATTATCTTGCATTTTTAATGCTTTTTCACTGAATTACTATTATTTAATAATAAGCTAAGATTCATAGTCATTGAATAACCACTGATAATTTTAATATATTATTTCTTCATAATCATCTCTCCTATCAAAGTACCACACAAGCTATAGTGCACAATAATGTACCACTGAGAAACAGTCACCTTTGGCTTAGAGGGCAAAAAGCTCCAGCCTACAATCCAGCAGTGAGCCAAAAACCCATCTGACAACCCTACTTGTGTCTTACTTTCATCTCCTTAATACCTTTAAGAAGCCCCCTCCTGCCTTGCCTCCCCCTGCCTGTTCTTCAGAAAGGCCAAGTCAGAACTTTGTGTGAATGCACACCATGACAGTGACTTGAAATAACGTTGAAAACATCAAAAGAAAGAAAAAGGTGGGAAACTGGAGTATTAGACTTTAACCTACATCAGCAAACATTTCTGGTTTGTACTGTGTCTCTGGAAATAGGTTTGTGGCACTCTATATATGGCACAGGCTTTGTTTCTTCAGGGAGAGGGGAACCAACATGGAACCACCCCTTTAAGTACAGTCCTCAATCAACCAACCACCACAGCCAGTCCTTAGTCCTTTATGTAAGTCCCTTACCTTTATAGTAACCCCTACAACATGTAGGGGTTAGTTACCTTCCAAGGTAGCCTTCTTCCCCCGTAGAAATTCAGTGTACTGACAAAATCTCAACAGAATAAATGTAACACTACATTTAATTTTATTAGCAGTATTTTACTTGCATACACAAATATACTATGAGGCTGTTCCCTTTGAGTGGAAAAATCAGTGCTGCTATTTCTCATAGATTTCCTTCTTGTGATGCCATCACATTCAGGTCCCAGACCTGCTGGACATCCATCATGATAAGCCCTTTGACTGGTATTATATACCAATTGTGCCACTGCTAAATATCTTCATGCTGTAGTACTTTACTGACATGCCACCTGATCATCCAGGTTTACATTTCTAATTTTACTGAAAGGCTTAAAACGTGTGAAGAGAATGGTTTATTACCATACAGGAACTGTGGCTGTAATTGCTGCAGGCCCTACTGAAGACACACATATATGCCACATGGATGTCTAGCATTTTTCAAATACTTTCAAAATCTCTCATGGGAAAACTGAAACAACTACGTATCAGTTACCTCAGCCTATAGCAGTGAAAGGAGAAATGACGATGCCATCCATACCAGATCCATCTCTCAAAGCACACAAATTGTAAGGAAAGTAATTATCACTATGAAAGAGTTACTGATTTAACATCAGTCAGCATAAACTGTTTTACCAAACTGGTCAGTGAATCACACAGCCAAGTCAATTCCATGATGCTTCACAAACATGAGCAGCTAACTTGCTTCTGCAACAAGCTGATTCCAGTTGTTGGAGCTTCACTGACACTTCAGTCACTACATGAAGTCCTGCCAGCAGTAACCTCTGACAAGCCTGAAGAGGGGCAAGGCAGTTCTAAAGACTATCAGCAAGATCTGAACAACAATACAGCTGATAAACATCTTGTCAAATCTTTGTTATCTTTCTGGGACACTGGTGCAGAACTGTTAGTTACCAATGTTTTCTGGAGCAGCAGGACCTCTTCCTATATGGGTAACTAAGTCCAGGAATGCATTCCCTTGAAAGGTGTATGACCATGTTTTTTTTTTAAGGCAGAGAGCATATCAGAACTATTAGAGCTAAACAGATCCATGTAACAAAGAGGAGGTTAAAAAAAAAATAAAAATTGGTCTTCCAGAGCAAATTTTTACCAACTGGATATAGACCTTGCTGTGGCAGGGAGCATTTCCAGCCAGGAAACATGACTTATGTTATGACACCAATGCCTGTTTATTCACTGTTGTTGGAAAAAAAAAAAAAAAAAAAGAAAAAAAAAAAGCTATTTGTCTTAACTGGACAATTTAGATTAACCAAACATTTCCTCTCTGCAACTCATGCAGGGTCACCCACATTAAAAAGCAAACAGTGTTTCCTAAGTCACTAAATACAAGTAGGAGGCAAAAGGATCATGTTTTAATAGGCAACCAACTTGAGCAACAGATATGCTTGGCAAAAAGGTGAACCCGACAGAGAGCCCTCCATAGGATTTGCTTCCAGACATACAGCTCAAATAGCAGGGGGAAAGAATGCTGAAGGGATGTCCAACAGAGAAAATAAATAATTATAGGTAGCACAAGGTTGAAACAACTATAGCCTAAATTCTCTCAGAAGATAAACAATAACTTTCCACCTTTCCCTCCAATATCCCTTATGTCCAAAAATACTGAAGAGTACCGGTCAAAGTTGGAATTGCGTTGTAAGGGAACTGGAAAAGAAGCCTGCAAAAATTCAGCTCATTAAGTAATTACAATGGTGCACAAAGAGGTCTTAGGAATACGAGTAGCTCTAATAGACACAACATGTCTGAAGCTTTCAGACCACTGAAACACATACTAGGCATATTTACTATAGTAGTGAGCTACATGCACCATCCCTGCCTTCCCCCCTTGCCATGGCCTGGAGAAAAACAAGTTATTTCTTATGCTGTCTGCGTAATTTTCAGTACTTTTGACATCACAGGACTTAATTATTATATGTAACTTATGACAACTGCAGGGGTGTGTACTTTTCCACAGTCCTTGGGGTTATTGCTACTGGACTAATGAAAATGCAGATGAGCAGACAAGAAATTAACAACCTCTGGAGTTCACACAACATGCCAGGTTCGCAAGGTTGCAGTTTGATGACCAGGTCCACACCATCAGTTCTGTCCCACACTCACTGCACAAAATTTCCCCATGCTATTCATGCAGCCATGCAATGAATTAGAGCAAGAAGCTGGCCAAAAAAACACACCAAACAAAATACCCACAAAACAGCTGTGCTGCTTAACATTTTTATAAATGCTGTTCTCTACCCAGCAACTCAAGACATGCTTTGTTTCAAAGCAGTGCTCTGTTCTCAGACAGAGACTCGCCAGGAGATAGGTACTTCTGTGTTTCATGAAGCCATCACTTCCAACTGCTGCAGCAGGTTACACCAAGCTAAAAGAACAAGCCTGCTTATGTAAACAAGAGCAGAAATTATTTAAGGAGTTTTTTTTTTTTTTTTAAACTTGCTGCCATTTCTATATGGCAGAATATGGAAGCAATCTACCTTCATTCACACACTTTGAACCACACATGTAAAATTTGTTTCCATAAACAAATCTACATCATCAGTTAAGCATCCTCTCAGAAAGCAGCATTTAATCAAACATGCATCAGTTTTGTGATGACACATTCAAAATACAAGATTGCTGTTCAAATTACATTAGTAATACTGAATACCGAAGACCACCTCTGCCTTGGCAATAACATGAAGTGAGTATTTTTGCAATATTCAATGAGATTTTTGTAGTTAGAGAACTGTTGTAGTTTTGTACCTTTTGTGATGCAGTTGCCGCCCTCTGTTCTGCCTGGCTTAGTCGCTTTTGAAGCCTATTGATGTATTCTCGATATTCTGTCATTAATTTTTCATCCTGTGGAAACGAAGTACCTCGTTACAAATGTAAAGTTGTCTTTACCGGATCCATACCTGTTGCAATGAAAAGCTTAAAGCAAGAGGAATTTAAGTGGAGCTGTTTACCACATATAATAACACTCAAGACACACTTTTGACAAATTACAGACAGTTTCCAGCTCAAATATGACATCCTATCACTTTTCCGATCACAGCAATCTTAAGAGGAAGTTTTATTCATTTCACCATTTGAAGTAAGACACAAAACTGGCATTTCAATCCAGATAATTTAATTTGCACTATCTTACAATATAAATATTTTAGCTATATTCAAAGGGAAAAAATAATATACATATGGTATTAATCTTGCTACAGCTGCCTTCTGTTCCCTTCATCAAATAGTATGTATAAAGCCTTTCTTTACCATTCTTTAACATGTTTCAAAAATCTATTCCCACCTTAACTCCATTTTTCTCCTCCAAATAATACAGCACTACAAAAAACAACACACAAGGATTCATCCTAGCCAGAACTGCATATTATCCTAGATTTATGAAGCAGACTGACAGGGTAGCTGTTTTCTAAAGTGACCGTTAATTATTGAACAATGCACATTCCAAAACAGCCATGGCCTTAATTTTTAATGAATAATGCTTTTATCTGTATGCATATGTACACATAAAGTGTACATTCTACTATACATATAGTATGCTGAAAAACTGATCTCTCTGCATATGCTACATTATCCATAACACAATGCATCCTCATTTTTGGAGATATGCAGACATAGGCCTAAGTTTCTTCACAAACATTTCCTGAACCATGAACCAGATTGGTAACCATGAGAGATGATCTCTCTACTACCTTTCCTAATAATTTGAGAGTAAAGTTAATTTGTCTTCCTGTCATTTGAACACAACAGTCAGCAGAAACAGTGGTGTTTTCAAGCTATGTCTACTCCTGTCAAAATTAAAAAAAAAACAACAAAAAAAAACAACAAAAAAACAGAAACATAACTCATCTAAATGGGTTTCTGTTAAGATCCTAGTGTATCTGCATTCTGTTGTAACTGAAAGGAGTGGTCATATCGGTCAATATCTTACCTCAATTACCTTTTCATTTGCCATTTCCAGCTGAGAAATGAGCTCCTGGGTACGAAGTTTTTGTTGACTCAGCTCACTTCTATTAATCAGAAGAAAGATGCTGATTAACACAAGGTAGTGCATCAGTTATCAGAACATGATCTCAAAGGCTGTTTCTTGCATTGTATGGGCTTGTGGCATATTTTTAATTACAGTGTTGCTCTTAACACATTAATTTCAAAAGCACTACAAACAGAATGTGTATTCACCACTGTAATGGCAGAGGAATTAAATGTGTTAGTTAGAATTAAAAGAACTTTGTCACAAGCATTCAACAATTTACAGGGCTTTCCTGCTGTTTATCTTATTTTACAGGCATATTATCAAATACACTATGAATTTGCCCAATGCATTTAATTCTTAGATTAAAATTCTAATGAGTGTTTTATAATCAGACTTCAATATGGACATTTTTGAAGATACTTTGAAGTACAAAACTCAAATCTTTCTGTGCTTTGTGTGACAGACAACAACGCAACATTTCATAAGGAATATGTTCCCTTCTTCAAAGTGGTCTTTTTACTATCACACCACATGAGTTTTACTGATCCTAACTTTGTATAGTAGTGAAGATAAAATAATAATTATTAATAATGCAATTAATATTAATAATGCAATTAATATTATGCACCCAAACGAGCCATTTTCAGTACACAAGTCCTAATGAACAGCTGTTTTTTGAAAACTGTCTTAAAGTTCATTTTTTATAAGCCATTTTGATAGCAATACAAAAATTTCACACAATTCACATTTTTTCATACATACCTTTTCAAAATAAACTATTCAAATGCTACAGCTTACAATGTGTGAACTGCTTATGGTCAAGTTTAACTATACTTGTAAAAAAGGCTTTGACAATACAGAACTATCAAATTGTGACAAACCATCTCTATGCTTTGTCATCTTAAGGAGAGTACCTAAAAATTAATTTTTAATACTAAGAATTCTTACTCAGTGAAAACAATCAGTCTCCTCTCTTTGTTCTGTGGTGTGGAATTAGCATTCTTAGCAGCAGAGATCATAAATGGAGTTTGTATGCTCAGGTACAGCTGTATATCAAGAAATTATTTTGTAATTACATCACACTGAACATGTTTTGAAAGCAAACAGTTTAACCTTGTAAGTATAAGGAAATATGACAGCTGTCAGGACAGACAGTTGATTTGTTCTGATTGTTAACCCTCCCCCTAATACATATTATGAGATTTTAATATTAAAATGCAGTGGTAACTCCAACTGCTGAATAATCAAATCAGTCTCTATGGCATATTGTCTTTGTTAAGTGAGCAGGAAACAAAAGGTGAGCTTTTAGTATTTTGGCAGACGGGTGATAAATTCACCAGCTGTAGCAAGTACATTCTGCGGAGCTCTCATATGACAAATATAGCATGTGCCAGATGTTTTTTTGGTTGAGTTATACTATAATATGCTTCAGTTAGTCTTACTAATTATGAATTTTGTATACTGCCAGTACCTGCAGCTGTCTCTCATCCTGTTAATTTTTTTCTTTAATGAACATCTTAAAATAAGCAGTTATGGCTGCCAAACATTACAGAAGTGCAGCCAAGAATAATGTTTTGGAAATGGAGGAAACTTCTTCATCTCAAGATGCTGTGCAATTCACTCAGTGTACTGTACAGGATATAGGGAGAAGGAGAAGGTGGCTCTGGCCAACACTTCATACATAGACCAAAAAAAAGAAAAAAGGTTATTCCTCAGAGATAGATTCTTTTCAAACATAGAAAAGATAAATCTGAGAACTCCGATAAAGACACACAGCTACAGATGAGTCAGAAACTCTTAACTATGATACAGAAATGTTTCAAAAACAGAAATTGGAACAAAGACACACGAAATAGCTTCAATAAGGTAAGAAGAAAGTTATGACTTAAGCTAAGCACATTATTTAAATTTAAAAACAATATGGCAAGAATTCCATTTTAAGCAGTGATGATTATAATTCTAGTTAATTTTACAACAAATGTGTTTTTTTTTTTTTTTTTCCAAAATGATATACCTTACTACTAGACAATAGTGGCAGATAGCTAAGGTTACAAATGTGCTAGTTTTTCATACTAGTATTTTCATATTAGTATTTAACACTTTCCTTTGAAGAGAGTTAAGATTTTTGAATTAACTTAAATGATTTTTTACATGGAAGCCATTTTTGAAGTACTTACTCTATTATTTAAGCCAATATTTATAAACTATCTTATGTGCTGATTGTTCTCTTAGATTCAGTTTATTCTCTTCTAAGAAGAGTTTTATTTTCTAAGAGTTTTCTAAGAAGAGAACAAAACTGTATATATGTTACCACCCCTACTCAGGCTTATTTGTACCTTAACTAAACAATCACGAGTCTAAGAGACCAAAGATTCGCTGCAATTCACTGCAAAGTTGACAGAACTATAAATTTCCTGTAAAGTTTTCAAGTTACAAGATCCATATTCTTACCATCTGCAGTTTTCATGTTACACTGCACTGAAGGTCATTCTATTGATAATGCAATCATTTGACTGAATATGACACTTCAATTTTCTCTGTGAATCTTGTTCTGATCTCTGGTCCAGAACAGAATCATGTTCAACAAGTATGTGCTCCTTGTATTGACCACTGGTGAGGATTCTGCTTAGTGAGTACATGTAGCCACTGCTTATCTGCCAAATTTCAGTTTACCCCCATTCTTTTTTCCTCATTCTTAGGGTTAGAACTTAAAAAGAATGAAAAATACCAATAGGTGAATTAGAAGGGATTAACCATCTATTACAGCTTGTCTTATGACCTCTTTGTTTCCTTGTTTAACCTCATTAGTGTAAATACAGCCTACTCAAGGCCCAGCACTGGACTTTAAACAATGAATGAATAATTTTCCCTCCCACCCCCCTTTAAAATTTGTGTAATGACTTTCATTTGCATTTTCTTTTAGTAACTGCTTACAGATTTGATTACCCTGTTTTTGCTTAAATTCTGTTGTCAGAACTTTCTCTCTTACACCTTCTCGATCTAACCTGCGTTCTCTTCTTATTGAGGTTTGTTTCCTTCCATTCATAAATTTCATATTATCTTGGTATTAGTGGTTTCATTTTCTAACTTTGCTGCCATTTATTCTTCTCAGATTAAATATGAAGAACCATATAGCCTTATTCACAATGCTGTAGGGTAATAAGAACAGTTCTAGCCAGTACCTTTCCCCCCAAAATATGGCCAAACTGACAGTGATCTTGGAGTTGTTATCTACAGATGTAAAACTGTAAGCTCTACATCCTGTGATGAAAAACAAAAAAAGCTGTCTCTGTTTCTTAAAAAATCCTACATACATGGACTCCAGCAGAATGAGGGACAGGGTTAGAAGGGAACTGAAAAATGTCATGGATTCAGGTAAAATAGTTTAGCAACTGAAAGGAAAAAAAGCAAAAGCAATCACCCACCACCAAAAGAGGAACACCCACCTACTTTGTAAAATCCTTCATCCAGTTTAATTTCTGAGAATTAGATTATTATGAATGGTTTATCGGCTTGGCCAGTTTGGCCAGCTTTCCCAACTACCTCCCCTCTCTACTTCTTGCCCACCTCCAGGATACTCACTGGGGTGGCAGCGTGAGAAACAGAGGCTTTCGCACTGCATAAGCATTGTTCATCAATAGCTGAAGCATCACTGCATTATCAACATGGTTCTGGTCACAAATCTAAAACGCAGCCCCAGTACTCTGAAGGTGAGATTTTTATATGTATTTATATATACATAAATATATAAAGACATAGACAATTTTTTTTTTTTAAACATACATATATATAGAAACAAAACAAAACAAAACAAAAATTCAACAGCAAAAGCCTTTGGACAACTTATCTTTAAATATGAACACTGTACCACTTTCTTTTTTAAAACTTTTAACAGTAATTACTGGAATGACTATTCTATAACTGTACATAGCTGCCGTCCTTTTCATAATCTCACTGTAGTTTAAGTTCACTTGAGTAAATGTCATTAAAACTCATAGTCCATCTAAAACTGATGCAATCAAGACTCAGAACAGCTTCATTTCATAGTCTGCAAGACCAGACGCTTTGCAGGAATAAAAAGGGTAAAGACTAGTCACAAGTCATGCTGCCAAGAGTAGTGTTTTTATTTGGAAGTATGACCTATGCTGCAAGAAGCACTGACCTTCCTAGTTACCTTCAAGATTGCCTTTTGGCACAAGTATATCAAAGTAATCCTGGTTCCTTGCCCTTATTATGAGATGAAGGTAAGGTCTATTACCACTAAATCCTTCTAAAAGTGTACAGCATCTTAAGATGCTTAGAAGGAAGACAATTTTGTCTCATATATGAAAAATACATTGTACTTTTCTGAATAAAATGGTGGAATGTAGTCTACAAGTATTCAATTCATTGCCTAGTGTTTCAGCACTGTTTTTATTCCAAATTCAGTTTCACAGGCAACGATTATATGTTTAACTTACACCGAGACCCAAGTGCCCAAGAAAGCACTGAGTAATTTTCAGCGAAGCTTAAAATTATCGACTTACTTACTAACATTTTTATCTACATTTTTTTTCACTGAGTTACTAGATTCTCGTGCTATTTAAAAAATCACTTTGCTCTACTATTGGAGCTTGAAAATTTACTTTTCAATTTAAAAAAATTAAAAGTCAACTAATGTTCTCTAATGTTGCTTTGTTTCTTAAAAACATTTATTTAATGTTTCCTTTATGTATATGTATTATACTTCGCAAATAAAACACAACACACTGAAAAACAACAAACAAGCAGCATAGAATATGGAAAAGTAAGCAGCTGTTGCCAGGAAGTTAGTAAAGAAGCCAAAATGTTTCAGACACTTTCACATGGAAAATGAAAGTAATGAGGAGAGACCAAAACAAGCAACAGATCATGAATTTAATGCAGAGGAATGGGAAACACCTACACTAAATGGGACGCTGACTCAATGCCTGTTAGGGCTCGAGAGCTGCACTAACAGCAAACTTCTGGTGAATGCAATGTTAAGCACTTTTATGTAATGTGCCTCCCCAGTAGACACGGGCATGACTTTCTAAGGAAGTTTATAACTTCATGAAAAACATGCACTTGTAAAGCACATTACTATGCTGTAAGAGTAGTAATTCTTGTTAAAAACTGAAATTCTATGTCACCAACACAATCTCTGTATTTGCCCATACATTTACAGGAATCCGATACATAAAACAGTAACTTCATTAATTGCTAAGGTTTGCCTCATACTGCCCTCAAAATATATTAAATAAACATGACACGCTTAGGGAGTTCTATGCTGAAACCCAAAAAGGCTATGTTAGTATCTTTATCTAAGCTCATACCCTTGCTGCCCAATCAAGACAGATGAAATTTCTAAAGAAAATATTAAGTTTTCCTTAAAAGTTCACAGCTTAACTAACCCTCTCAAAAACACAAACTTAGTAAGACATGTATATAGGAAAGTTGGGTGAACATCATCCTTTCACCTGGAGTCTGATATAAAACTTCCTGGTATGACTCCCTGCATTAGCTTCAAGAGGACATTCAAAACAGAACCTGTAATTCAATAGGCTGTGTTTAGCCAGTATCACTACTAGTTAGTGGTCTTGATGATAAATCTATCAGTGCATTGGCTGCAAAACTGTTTTGCTCTTTAAGTAATTCAGCAATTTTATTTTAGTTCACTACAAGGTAAGATGTGATTTGCCATTCTGTACACTTGCACACAAAATGCTTATTCAAGAGTTATTGTGGTAAGATTAAAATAAATAATTATTAATTTAGAATATGAGCTTTGATTTTGCATTGAGTAACTTCTACTGTGCAGGTCAGGAGCTAGTTTTCATACCAACTGCATTCTATGCTATATAATTAAGTATCTGGTAATGCACATAACATATAAAAAATAAACTGGTTTTAAATATAAATTTAAATATAAATAATATTTATTTATAGGTACTGTCATAGCTACTTGTCAACATAATATCAGAACATCACTGCACAGATTTAGATGAAATTCCTTATTTAATTTTAAATTACAACCTTTTATCAGAGAATTAACTTGTCGCTGTTGCCAGCTTCCTTCTTAGGCAGATCAAATCTTCTCCAATAAAAAACTCTGATTCTTGATTATACAAAAATGTAAAAGCATCACCAACAAAATCGTCTTAAAATGTAACTGACTTTGCTTTTAGACTTTGCATCAAAATGCCTACTAAAGTGACAGAGAACCAGATGGGCTTAGGGTAGACTTAGTTTATAATGAGATGAACTTTTTTTTCTATTCTGCAGATCAGGCAGCATTTGCTGATACAGAATGATAAATTAATGCAGGGGTTTCCCAGATGATACCACACAGGCAGTCTCTCACATAAACAGGGGCATTTTGAAAATTTAATATCTATTTTTCATACAGATTCACAAAACAGACTTCCTCTCTTGTCTGTTATATTTTCTATGTCAGCATTTTGCTGCAGATAAATAAGGTCTAAAGCTTTTGGGCCACTATTGCAACATTTTAACACTTTGCATTAAAGCTTCATGAAGGAAAGCAGCTGTTTCACAGACAATTTTAATTGCTTTGGAAGTTTGCAATTTTTCCCTTTTAATTGGAAGTTGCTGAATTATATTCTGAATCTCAGTTATGAACATAGATGCTCAGCTATGGCAGTTTTCTAATTTCACGTACAGCAAATAAACTACAAATTTAACAGCTAAAATTTACTTTACCATGAAACACTACAAAATATTTTTAATCTCTAGTTACTGCATTTAAAATAGATGTCAAAAAAGCATTACGAAGATGCAGCCATAAAGTGAAGCTGTACCACTAAGACTGTCAGTTAATATGCACAGCTCCTAGTGTCTTGCAGACACAATGAACACTGTGATGATTTCTTCTGAAAGACACTTTTTGCTTTAAAAAAAACAACAAACACTGTTTAGCAATCTTTATAAAATGCAGAATATTTAAAGGCCAATAAATCCAGCCTATATCTGGACTGAAAACATAAAAAAACCCTGCTTACTTAGGAGAGGTGAAAATGACAAGAGGGACTACGTAGGACTTTTTTTTATCTAGAAAAATAGGCCAAAGTGTTAGCATGCTTTTGGTCTATCTGAAAAAGTTTACACTGAACTAGTCATCACAGATGACTACAAAAATTGTTATAACCACTATAAAAGGAGTACTTTAAAAATAAAAGGGCTTCTAGGTTGACCAGTGAAGCTTCAATTAAATCAGAAAGGTCATCAATAAGTATTCCTCTATTTGAACAGAGGATAGGTACAACTTGTCATGATTGACAGTGGGTCACTTTAAAAACATAAGAAAATAGTTTCTAAGGGATGAACTGTACATGCTACATACGACACTGCTGTTTGCAAAGTTCACTGGAGACCAAATTCACATTCTTCTCCCAAAAGTTCAAAAAACAAGTTAGAGTAGTGGTATGGTAAACCTGCAGATGTTGTCTACAACAGAAAGTTACATTTCCTTGCTCATGTTGGGAAACTTGGTTCTAATTCTACTTTTACCACAAGCATTCTGACAACTAAGAAATGTCAAACTATGCTTAAAAAATCTGACTTAAAATTGTAACAAGGATATTGGAAACATTATGGTTGAAGCTGACAAGTTGCAAACCATTAGAATGGAACATGAAAAATTTACAGATTACACCAAAGGAAATAAAAGCTAGAATTCATAGGTTTCCAATTTTAGTATGGTAAAATCTTTGCTTCCTTGTTAACATAATAGTAAGCAATTTCTAAAATCAATCTGAACAAAGAAATATACTTGAGTGCATCCTGAACTTGATGTGGCTGAAGTTAAAAAGGTAATTTCAAAGTTCTCAAATTCACGAAGCTGCATGCCCCAGATTTTTCTTCTAAAAACCACTGAATGCCCTCTCTAAAAGGTACACATAACATTATACTCTTGTCTAACCATTCAAAGAAACAAGACTTATGAAATCAGGCTTTCTGGTTTAGAAGTAATCATGTATCAGTCTCAATTTCCTCCAGTTTTCAACCAATTTTGAAAAGGGGGAGATCTTGAAGACATAAACTTAGAAGATCTATAAAAATATGAGGCTAATTAATCTCTAATTTATAGGCAACTTGATCTGACTGACAGAGTCTCCTGAGCTTAGGCATCAAATAAAGCAAACATACATCTTTGCCTCTCAAGAAAGACTGTTGAAAATGTGGCCTCCTATACGCCTCCTATACCTCACAAACACCACCTACCTGGCCAGCGACGGTGAATGATTGTGTGTTAGCTCGTAATTTGCCACAGTTTGTCTGCTACCTGCCAGCCAAAAATGCGCAGGGAAGCTTAGATGGAGGAAGGCAGTATCAAAAAAGGAAGACACTAGAAAACCACTGTGCATGGATAAATTCATTTAAATTTTAACACTTTGCAATGTGTCCTTACAGTGAAAAGGAAAACCAAAATGAAAGATGTCACATTTGCGTATTTCATAAACTGACTGGTAATGTATCTTAATGGATATTGTGTGTACAAGTAGAAACAAACAATACCTACAGCAGTATGCATTTAAAACAAAGAAAGGCCTGTAGAATTTATTTCAAACATGACTTGAAAATAGCTTATTTTTCACTGGGATGCTTCCTTCACTACTCACTCATTTCCAATAACTCACCTTCTTATTTTTTTAAGCCAACTGCTGCCTGTTTGTATATAGGCTCACAGGCACCATACATGTTTTTATTGCCCAGCCTCTAGAAATGATATGTAGTCTGTGTCTGCTGTGTGAGATGCCCTTGTCATGGCCTCTCAAGACTGAAAATGTTCTTATATTCTGTGCTGGGAATAAAAGCATGAGCCAGTTACCTGTCAACCTGTATGAATTAAGAGAAAAGTAAAGTTTACATCATATTTTTGCTTAAGGCAATCAAAAAACTCATTTGTATCCTCATTAACGACAACCAAGTGCTCGGAAGAGAACATCAGATATGTCTCCCAATATGCTTTTTTCAACTTATTTTACAAGTCTAGAGACTCATTCCACAACTGATTTGATGAAGACTGCTCTGAATAGTGATAAATATAGGAGTTTTCATAATACAAAGCTATTTTTCTACACTGAGAATGCTATATTCTGAAAGAGAAAATTAAAAAGAATATATTCCATTTACTTTTTGTCATTACAAAATTCATACACATCAATGAGATGTGAAATTTCAACTTCAGTGATTAGCTGCTAACTTCACAAAGGGTTAAGTTAAAATGTTCTAAAGACAACAATTTTTTCTTTTATTTGCTACAAGCACATCATCTATTCTAGACTGGTTTGCCCTTCAATGCTTTCCACCATCATACTGTCATAGCAAATGGTTACCAGAACTGTAACAGTTGCCAAAAAACAAATTTGCACTTACTTTAGCTTACTGATCCTGGCTTCTGCAGTTTCACTAAGACTTTTTGTTTCTTCTTTCCATCGATTTGTTGCTTTTTGCTGAGCTACCAACAAACGTCTAAGTTCAGCAGTAGACTTTTGACTGGTGTCTTCCAATTCCTTCAGTCGAGCTTCATATCCATGTTTTTTCACAGCATGCTCATGCTCCATTGTGCTTATCTGGAAAAAATACCAATAGGATACAACCAAGTCTCTCACTTCCTTTTTTTAAAAAACTCTTGAGCTAAATTTATAAGCATTTGCTGAAAGCATGTAACATACAATAATTAAACTTGTAATTATATACTCAAATAGATGCATGTTCCCAAAGCCAATTTAAGCAAATAGTACAACTGACAATAAAGGATAATGAGCTGTGTATGCTTATTTTTGTAAATAAACTTTATCACTCTCCCTTGTGTTTTCTCCATAGAACATATTTTTTCTTCTCATCTAGCCAAAATGTGTTAGAACTTTCTGAACTGCAACCAGAATCTTTTGCACATCAGAGGAAAAGGGAGGCAAATAACAAATCTTATCTGTGACTGACTATAATGGAATTTGGTCTGATTAGGGACATACGAAGATCTAGTATTTGTTTTATAACTGCTACCTGTCACGCTTGACTAAAAGATTCTAGAGTTGGAATAAGATTTCTTTTTTTAATTTGCCTACTTTTTTTAATCTTGAGGTACAAAGTGGTACCTGGATTTGAGATGGCCCTCATTCATAATTAACTATAACTGTTTACTCAAGTCTTTTTCATTGCTGTAGATTCTTAGATCCCTTCAGTATCCTTATACTCAGAGTTAAGAGCAGCAGGGAACGCATCAGCTCTATATATTTAGAAAGCATGTCAAGTATCAAAGCTGTTATTCCCTTCAGAAGCTAAAGGTACGATGAACCTGCTGAGATTAGTTATTAATACATTATCCCATATGCAATCTGTTCAGGTACATTAAATGAAACACATTCAAAAAGAACATGTCTTTCAGCTAAGTATCTTGCTTGCAAATATTCACATAGAAAAATACTCTCTGTCCAGAAAAAACAGAACTAATGTTTGACAACCATACCATTAATAAATTTGTTAGTTACACGCTGCTTTGGTAATATGGTAGATATGCAAGTAGAGGAACACTGTACTGAGTGTCAATACATTCCTAACATTGCAGACAGTAGATAAAGATCTGGAATGGGAATGGGTAAAATCACTTGAAGGTAAATATGTTACTATTTGGAATATTTATCTTATGAAAGCATAGAATATTTGGGATTCTCCTACCAAGCTGAAAATAACACATTAAAATACAACCTAATTAGCCAAGGCTGAATTACTCACAAGATCATGAGGACATACGATACAGCTCTACAACAAAATTACTTATAAGCAGAAAAGAGGAAGCATCATTGAAACTTTCACTCCCTTTCACACTGCCTTATTAAGTAAATATCAGTCCTATATTAAAATAAAAACAGCACATAAACCATACCTTTATTTTAGCTTTTTTTTGAGCCTCTACAGCTAGTTTTCTCAAGCCTTCCATTTCTTTTTGCAATTGTTCGTTCTCTTGCTGAAGTTTTAACCTTTGTTCACTGACAAAACCACTCTTCTCTCTTTCTGAATCCAGAATGCTTTGCAAATTACAGATAATTTCCTGGCAACGAGATTTCTCTTCCTCAGAGCTGAAAGAGAAGAAGTCTTGTTTGAACGCAAGAAGAGAATCCATTTTACAGTTTCATAATGCTACTTTGCTGCAGTTGCAATGGTGTGAAGATAGGGGACACTAAGTTTGTAGACAGCAACGAAATCTTAATAGAGCAATTGATCTAGTAGGACACTGCCTCTATTGCTGTTAAAGGAGGCTATCAGGAAGCAAACTGAAGGCAGAAAAAGGAAGTTCTTCATGCAGTTATGTTTCAGGTATAGAACTCACTATCACACTATGTTGTAGATGAAAGATTCAAGTAATCCATGTAACAGTAAGAGTGATAATTAAACATATAAATATATGATGTCACCTTTGGACATTTTTAAGCAGCCCATCACTATCAGAATGCTGCCAGAACATTCCAGTGAAGTATCACTGTCACCTTGTACTAGTGTTCAGTGTTTCCCTTAGATGACTTAATTTGGACAGTGCTCATGAAAATACATAAATTTGGGACAGATTTTGGTCTGACCCAGTATATACATCTCCCTCTTTCTTCCTGAAAGCTTGTATCAGCTCAGTATGTTTAATGGCCTTTACACCTAGGACTATGTGCAAGTCAGCGTAGTATTTTATCAAGTCTAGGGAATTCATAACAGCAATCTAACATTCTAGCAATCTCAGTAAAATGGCAATGTGGAACAGTAGATTCTCATTTTAAACACATTTCTAGATTCCCAAATGATTGCTCTGGAGAAGAGATAGAATTTATGATCATTGAAGATCATAAATAACTTAAAGAGAATCCTACACTTTTTATTCTGAGAACAACCTGATCTAAAAACGTGTACTATGCTGTGTCGTTTACCATTACATTACTGGAATTACGATAATATCTGTTAGCTCTCTGAACACAGACCTGAAATTCAGTATGCTACATAAACATAGAGCGTTACACATGCACTAGAAGATACCACATTGCAGATGAATTTATAAAGTAATAAATTCTGCCCAAATATTTCAGAGCATAACTTTTCCTACAAACAGTATTAAGAAATATGTCAGGATTTCAAATACTATACTCCAATTTTTATTGTTTTGTAAAAAAAAAGCTGCTTGCAATTCTAGTCTTGCAAAGAAAACTTTTCATCCTATAATCTGTTATCCCCCTTAATACTTTTATAGTGATTCATAATTACCCTTGCTTCAGAATTATGGTAACTTGATACTATTCCTGCTACTGATGGAAAATGCGACAAAGACCTAACACACTATCAACAGCTAGTCAGAAATAATTTCCATTATTTTCCATTCCTGTCTCTGTAACATCCATGACTTACTTCATTTCCAGCTGTTTCAGTTTATTTTGCGTTGTCTGTAGACTCAGCTGAAGGTCACCTTTTGTAGTTTCTGCAAGTAGGTACTTCTGATGCAGTTGCTCTAGTCTTCTATTGTCAGATTCATGTACTCTGTCTTCCCTGTAAATCTGAAGAATAAAATTCCATGTAAGATCAACTTTACCTTGCATGGGTGATTGACAGTATAGTAATGACAACAATGCTACTCCTCATTATGCCCTATTTTTCAGATTTAAAACAAAACTGAATTTCATCAAATTTTAGTGTTGCTGCTACTTAGAAAAAAAAAAGGGTTTCATAGTTTTTTCATCCATTTGTATACTGAGCTTAAGTTTTAACTGCAATATGTACCAAGATTCTTTCAAGTACCTCTCCCTTTACTTTTTACATTTTTCAAAGAATACTCTTTTTCAGTTTAGAATTACAGCTTTAAAAAGATTTCTAGATTAATAGCTTAGAATACTGACATGAGTATTTACAGTTAAGAAAAAGTACTCAACAAGTAAGAAACTTAAGGGTCACAGAACTGTCCTTCATTCCAATATATGGGAAAAACATGAAACAAAAAATTAACACATCTTTTCCTACTGAAGAGAGATCTTAAACATGATGTAAAAATGCATAAAATTGCCTTACTTTTTCCAGTTCTTCTTCCACTGTTCGCTTTTCTCTAATGGCTCGTTCAATTTGACTCTGTTTTTCACCACATTCCTGTTTTAAAATAAGTCGCTTTAAGTACATCTAATCAGAAATAACTCACAATAAAAATTCAAGAAGTGCCAAAGCCAAATACCCACCATTGTAAATGTAATTTTTTGCTGTAGGTATGTATGCATTCAATTATATTTACCTGTTCATTATTTTCTCTATAGGATTGGTCATAGACTACAACACGCCAAATTAAACTTTTTAGAAATAAATTTATTCCTTAAAAAGCTGCATAAAAAACAAACTCTTTTAGTCCCCCACATCAGTTGTTACAAGTTCCAAGTTGATTCAAGAATATGATGATTGTGATGCACTTTCTCTTAGTATACTTTATCAACTTTTGTATACTTTATTGCTACATATGCAACTACAGATATGCAATAATCAGCTTTCCTTGCTTTATTTATCCCTGAAAGAAACAGGGATACTTAAGAAATGCCACCACATGGGAAGTATTTCCAGAGCACAGAACCTCACTGTAAAGAGGCTTGTGACCTATGATAAGAACAAGCACAATCAAGGAATAAACTTACACAAAGAAATTGGTAGATTTGCAGAACCCTATTATTTCATGCAAAGCCAGGCAAGATTCTCAGTAAAAGTAAAATATGACTGTATACACATAAAGTAAATCTGCACATTAAAGATGAATTTTCAAAGCAAAGTATCCTTTATACCTAAATTCGAATCACTGCACTGACTGTTGAGACACTACACACAGTCACTTTTGTTAAGCAACATTAAAGGCACTGAATGTTGTATTAATGACTATGCACATGCAAGGGGTAAAGTACTACTATAATAAACCATAGTCCTAGATAATTACTCATAAATCATAACTATTCCATGCACTGTACTATCATCTACCTTTTTTGCTTCTTGTCCTTTACACAAACTAAACTGTACAAAAGAGCTGTGAAGGTACTCTATACTGGTAGCGAGGAAATGGTTACACAGCAGGACTAAACTGCCTCTGATCAGACAAACTGTGAAAACCTGTACAGATCCATGACTATAACAGGTCCTGTTAGACATATAATAGCACCTACGATAGCTCATTCTGGTTCAGCAAAGTCCACCTTATTCCTGTTCCCTGAGCCATTCCTTCACAGATGAATTTCCTGAGAGACTCAGCACAGACTCCAGCTCACTACCTACATATCTGGAGAGAACTAAAAATAGTATCAATTCTATTCTCTCTATCCGTTTATTTGCCTGTATTTCTCTGCATTGGCCCTATGACAAATCTAGACAAGTACAGTAGAAGAAATGAGCAGTGCGTGCTGTAGGAAAGTTGTTATTGATAAAGACAAGTATTTTGTTAGGTGCAAGTGGTGCACCAATACTACAAAATCTATACCAAGATCCTCTCCAAAACAGGAATCGCATGGTATTTGTGTCTATTAGTACACCATATATGCACATAAATTATTTGATTGTTGGGGATGAAACAACAGTTTCTTGTGCAATTCAGAATATTACTGCTGGCCATAAAAAAAAATAAAATACACAAAACCTTCCAGACAACACTAGAAACAAAGTATTTCTAGAAAAATCTAAAATAAAAGTATCCCAAACCTACCATTATTGACCAACGTATGCAACATAAACAACACAAAAAAAAGATAAAAACAGTCATGATCCTTTTTTTTTTTTGTGGGGGGGAGGGGAAATGGAGAACCAATCACTAGTAACTTCTAAGTAATACTAAAGATAAACACCATTCTAGAAATAAGAATATCAAAGCTCTGATACCTTTGTATAAAAGAAAGAATTATCTCTCTTCACTAAACAGATAATAATATCATGAGATGTTGGATTTTAATTGATTTACTTCTACTTGAATTTAGTGTTTAACTTGATAAGCAACAAAAAAGTCTCAAATGTTTTGCTATCAGAAATACTTTTGTAAGTCAAGACCATACCATTTGGAGAGCTGAAAGTTCTTCTGTTAGTCGAGAAATCTGTACATTATATTGTTTCTTTGCAGAGTCTACCTGCAATCAAAACCAAAAAAAATAAATAAAAAAATCCTGTGAACTATTTTTCCATCCTGTTTTTACATAGAGAATCACAGAATTATTTAGGTTGTAAAAGACCTCTGAGATCATCAGTTCCAACTGTCCATCCTTTAGTCCACTACTAAACCACATCTCTAAGTGCCATGCCCATGTCTCTTCAATACGTCAGGGGATGTCTGACACTCTGCCACCTCCCTCAGCAACCTATTCAAGGCCTAACCACCCTTTCCGTGAAGAAATTCTTCCTGATGTACAATCCAAACCTCCCCTGACAAAAATTGAGGCAGCTGCCTGAAATATATATTGTATATACATGATGCTTACATATAAAAATATAATGAGACTGAAACAACTGATAAATCTTCCTATACCAATGTTAGAAGAATGCTTATTATCAATCGATATTACTTTAACTGAGAGTGTTTAGAAAAAAAGCAGAAAGACAGACATCACAACAAGGCCTTATAAAACAAACCGTTAAGACTGCCAGAAAGCTGCAGAAAGTCCTCTAGGTGCAAGGTATCTGCAACTTGTTTAACATGTATTTTCAAAAATATTTGTTAACTCCTGGAGAAACATGACAACGCATACTCTCAAATTTTACTTTTAATGCTTTTGATAGATTCACTTTTCCTGGGATTATGTCAAAATAAGAACAAAGACATTTCTAAATTCTTATGAGTAAAGTGTTGTCATAACTAGATTGAGTGGTTATCCTACCTGCTCTTTAGCTCTCACACCTTCTCAAAACCACGCATGACATTAAATACTGCAGTTTTAAGTAATCCATGTAATTTTTGTGGTTCTTTTGGGTAATTAACAAGTGGAATGCACAAACCACTTTCATCCTCATTTTAAAGGCTTCAAAAATTTACATAGTATGTTTCTGAAATCTCTAGAAATTAAAGGAGTGGAAATAAAAAGAATCCTTTCATCCCTAAACAATAAACACATACATTGTGTCGTAGTGAAGACAGTGAAAGGAAGCACAATCAATGGCACCACTGAAAACTTACAAACCAGGTAATTGATTTACACTGTTGCCTACTTGAAATAAAAGACATTGTTAACATATTTATATAACAAGCTTCTGTTTCCTTTGGAGTTTGCCTTAAAACAAAGCATGTCTATTTGACATGTGGGTAATTGTTGAGAACTTCCAAGTAAATGCATTTTAACCACAGATGGGAAACAGCATAAAGAAAACTAATTTTGTGAACAGTCTGTTATCAAAAGAGCTTCAATTTTTCAGCCATTCATAAAAAGAATAAAAATCATAAGGACCGAATCTTCGGAGTCATTTCTCTACCGAATGCTGGTTTTGAAGCGAACTGTGATATTGAGTCTTCTACTATTAACTGTACTTGGTAGAAGTCTTATTCGCCTAGAGGAATATTCTGAAGTACCGAGATGCCAAAATAGTGACAGTATAACTCTCAACAGTTTCTCTCATCTGACTGTACTGATAAGCATCAATAACTTCCTAGATGAGGCCATATATTCATAAACAAAATACATTGATACCACTACAACTAACAGACGTCAGCATCTGTTAACATGCTACTGAATAGAATTTCTGAAATAGATGCCAATCTTTACATCACCTTCTCTATACCAGTATGTGCATTGACAGGAACACTTTTGGTTCATGAGAGATAAACCAATATCATTTGGGTTGGAAGAGTATCTATCTAGATGATAAAGCTGAAGAGTACAGTCCTGTCAGTATGCTGCCCCTGCTACCTATATTATCAAAACACTTGTAGAAAACAGCCTGATTTGATCACATATAATATGTATATTCATAAAACATAATTATGTCAGATTTAACTCTATAAGTACACAGTTGATTCTTTCTAAATATCATAACTTACTGCCTTCCTAATTCTTGCAGCAGTGTCTTCTGCAAGTTGAGACATTTCATTTTTCAACTTTTCAATTTCCTCTTCCTTTTGTTTCTCCCCAAACAGTGCCTAGAAAAAAACAAAACAAAACTTGAAATACTACTGAAAATATTTCAGTCATGACATAATATCTAGCAGTGAGAGAAGAAACGACACATAACCACTGTTCTAAAGAAGTTTTTGGCTTGCATTTGGAGCAGTTGACAACAAGATCCATCAAGAACACAAACAGAAATGTCACACAGAAAGATCTGTTAAGAATCTGCATACCTGAATTCTCGGTTAAGAACCTGAATACACACACACGTATTCCTACACACATCTGAGCATTTTTAGTTGTTGATACACTAAATTACTCATCTTCTAGAAAACTAAATGAATGAAAATTCACAAGCAATTAATGAATGCATATGCAATCCATTTCACAGTGGATAACAATGAACTGAACAGCTCTTCAGCACAAAAGGATGGTGAGAATCACAGAAAAAAAGTCTATTAAGGAGCCTTACCAGAGGAAGATGAAGATAGTAATGTTAAGGTAGAACACCAGATACTGGTCTGGAAAGATTATGGAAGGTAATACAGATCTCTTTATGGGATAGATGAAAAAAAATTCTAGGTGGCACATTAAGAACATGTCAATGTAAAGGGAGAAAGACATGAAAATCATTGCTAATACAACATTGATACAAATTCAGCCTGTAGAAGGTTACTCACTACAATCAGTAACATGGTGCATCATATGTCATATTCTCTTTTACTGCTCCCATTCAATTTGTGATTTGTTTCTCAAAGTACTCTTAGAATTCTTCTGATCTAATTTTGTAATCTTAGCTTTGTGTACTTTACAATGTTAACATAAAAGAAGGAGCACTGTGACAACCCTTTACTGCCTCCCATAATCTCTTACAGATCAGGGAGAAGCCTCCGTGGCAACAGTATAAGACACACAGTTAACTAAATGTACATATTAGGCTGCATTTTTTATTCTGTTAATTCATAAACTTCCCAGCTTTAGCCAGTGCAATAAATTAACAAGTGCCTGCAAATTCAAGTTTTTTCTTCCTAGAACATTACACTAAACTTGTAATGAGACATTTCCGTATCTGTAGAAGTTCATTAAATCTCTCAGATTCATAATTGCATCACAATAAATTCTACTGGGCCACTTTTTTCTGTCAAAAATGGTGGGAAAAACACTGCTTTGATGTACCAATATGTAGCAGACTATAAATGTGATTTACACTTCTTACCAGTAATTTTCAAATGAAAGAGTGATTTCTCATTTTTAAACTCTGAAAAAATGAATTAATTTTTACCTTTTATTCTTCATACTCAGGCTCCAGGGAAATGCTGTTAAGGATACAAATGTCTTACTAGGAAAAAGGAACTAATAAGTCCAAAGGTAGCCAGCAAAGGAGGACATAAAACTTCATTTTTTTCTTTCCTTTTTGAATATGAGCCTAAGAGGTGAAGGGAACTGTAGAAGATCAGGGCTTGTAGCAAGTATGACGCACTAAGTTTTGAATGAATATGAAAAGGAATTAGTGTGTCAGGAAGATGCCACCCAAAGTGTATCCTAAGTTACTATAAATATATGAGAAGAAAGACTGTAACAAGAAAAGTACCCTCTTTTGTGCAGCAAAAAGAAACACACAAGTTACTGGGCACCACAGTAACAACCAGGACCTGTTAAGTCTTGGAAAGATTTAACTCTTCTGGAAGCAGGCAAGAAGGTAGCAGGATCTCTTTAACGAGTTATTCCTCCTTTCAGACAGGATCTTCCTTGTTTGTTACAGAAATGAAATCAGCATGAGCAAAAAAGACAACATTAACTCCTGTATTCCAAAAGGTAAAAGTATAAAGTTAAGTTAGATTCTCAGCAAATTCAGATTAAAAGGGAATGTTTATCTCCTTAACTGCTTGACTGTTCAACATGTTAGCACAAACAGAATAAAGTCTCCATATGTTCCTATGGTCATTAACTAATCTGGACTTCATTTACTGATGTGTAAAGTCTATTACATGCATTAAAGTTCTGTCTCGCCAGCAAACACTATTCATTAGATTGCTAAAAGCCTGATTTTTGATCAATAGATGCTTCTAAACCTGGTGGATTAGAGTCTACCTCTAGAAGTTTTGGTGGATTCTTCTATTTTGAATGTGACTGTTTTCATATCTATACTTTTGGCATAAACATTATCCTGTAACAGTTGAATCGATTTTTTTTGTTACAGCCTCTCTGACATGTCTTGCTGTCATTGTATAATCCTGCACTTTCCTATTTCTCCCATCTTACTTGAAATATACTGATCAAAACTGCATGTTAAGGTGCACTACGTTTTTAGAAGCATTTTTAAAAATCTCATTCTGAACATTCTATTAATTGTAATGAGTTACACTAAGGATCACACAAATGTGTTCATAAGACCCTTTACTGACTGCAAAACAGTAAGTTCAGCATGCTGTACAGAATATCTGAATTTCATCTGCCATTCCAGCATACACACTCAAATGCCTTTGCAGTTTTTTACTGGCTGCCGGCTTTGCTGACTCGTTACTCAGAAACTTTTTCAGATTTCTTCTGAATATTTAAGATCTGAACACAAAGCTCACTCTTGGTGACTTATGTCTACCATATAAAAAAAAATCTCTATAGTGTCAGCTTTTCTTTCCTAACCATTAACAAGTAATATAATCTTGTAACTACTCTGACAGCCCTATCTAGGTATTCAATAAGATTGGTACTTCACAACTGCTAGTGATTCAATTTTCTAATATATAAGAAATACTTTCACCCATTACCTTACCTGACTTTTTTGTAGGTTAGCTTCTTCTAAGAGCTGTATGCAATCTTGGACTTTTGCAACTGCATCATACTTCTCCCTTTCTAAATTAGTGTACTTTGTCTGAAGCTCTCTAATCTGTTTTTCCAGGGCTGTTCTTTCTGTTCTCAGCTGTTCAGCATCTTGGACAGTAACACGTAACCTAAAAGACAGTGATAATTTTACTCATTTAACAATACAATGGTTAATCAAGACACTTCAATTATTTCAAACTAAGCTTGTAGAAAGTAAAATAAAATAAAAATAGTCAATACTGCATTCCTGGTTTTCTGCTTGTTTTGGGGACATTTGTCACACCTTAGAAAGAAGCAGAATTGAAGGAGTTAACTCAGATACCTACTCTCAGAAAATCCTTAGAAGTATGTTGCTATCCTGGGATATATCATTGAAAATGTTCTATATTAAAACAGAATAGAACAGCCCAAGAAGGAATAAAGTTCTCCTCTGTGGAGGAAATGGAATAATTGGATGTGGGCAATGAAGTTGCAGCTATACCATTAGAACAATGAAAACACTGGTAATTTTGCAACAGCTCAGAAATTCTTATTGTTTAATTATGATTGTCAGTATTGGCAGGCATGAGAAAGGGCAAAAGACTCTCAGAGGTATCCTCAAAAAATGTCTGAAAGTTCCGAAGTGCAGCTTATTCAATAGAGTGCATAGTTCCAAATACACATAGCGAGCGCTTTGGAAACACTTGGGCTGCCTTTTCAGGCAGTCATGCTGATTTACTTCCTAATGTGTTTACAATAACACATACAAAGAAAGAGAGCCACTCTATTAAAACGCAATTTTTGGAGAACCAAAAGTCCATAGAAACTAATAATGATAGCTAATTCCTTAACACATTCTAAAATGAAGAGCCTCTGAAACACTTAGACAAGTAAAACTCAGTAAGTAGAGGTAGCCAAACAAATCTGTAGAACTATTCAAGGCTGCACTTGACCATATAGACACAGGGTTCCCCACTAATTATTTGTTTTCCAGAGTTACCGAAGAGTTCACAGGGCTATGAACAGAGCTGTGAGCAAGAAGGGAAAATGAACAGTCACACAATTATTCCAATAAGAAATTTATGAATTGTTCTTACCTATGAAGTCATTTGTAATTCTAAAATTGCTTACAATACTTTAATCAAAATTACTGTCCTCAGCTCCATGTAATATAGCTACACTTGATATCCTTGGAGAGTGAAGGTAAGGGGGAATGCACAGAAGAAACTGATTGGATCTTAGATCTTCTAGTAGACAGTACTGGAATTAAAATTCTATTCCTGATCACTCAAGCAATTTTTGTAATTTGCATTTATTGGATGTTATTTGCATGTTATTAATTTTTATTTATTTATTTATTTTTGTATGAGGAGTGATGAACTAAGACCTGAAGCCAGATCATGGTCAGAAAATCTGTATTCACCTCAATAACAGCTTCTTTACATAAAAAAAATAAAAAATAAAAATTCGGATGTGCATTTTTTTCTTCAAAACCCCACCTAACACTAATGAGAGTTGAGTAACTAGAATTTATGCACTAGAATGAAAAATACGTGTCTTGTTTTTTCTCCATTACAGTCAATAAAATCAGTGCTGTGTTTTAACATTTTAAATATATTGAAGACAGAAGCTGTTCTGCAAGGTTATAGAACAGAACAAATAAGGTAGAGAGCAGCCAAACATAAAACACCTGTATTTTGAGAAAACAGACTTACTTAGAAATACAAAACCCAGAGACTGATAAAAACTACATTTTACCTCACTTGTGAATACCCTGTTAGTAACATCCAGTGAGATGTCTTTACCTTGTTTCTAATTGTTTTATACTAGACTGCATTTGTTGCAAGCGTTTGTCAGATGCTGCTTCTCTTTGCTGGGCAGATAACACATCTTCTTCCTAGAAAGAATAAATATATTTTCCAGGTATCATCTGAATTTCATTTAACAAAACAAAGGTATATTAATAAAAAACAAGTCAGGGAACAACTTGCCATTAATTTAACACCAGCAAGTTTCTAACTGACTAACATTTTCAGTTGTAATTTAAAATTGTTCTTTTCTCTAGAATACCTTTCTCTCCAATTGGCCTTGAAGCTTCTCTGTCAATCTGGTCATTTCATCAATCTTAGCACTTGCTGTCCGTCCATCTATTTTGGCTTGCCTGTATAAAGAAAAGAGTCTATGAATTACACTTCAATTATTACAGGGACAAAAAAAGAACTCTGTTACAACTTTGTTGAAATAGTTGTGAAGGGCAGTCAGATTCCATAATACTTTAACATGGCAGAAGAGGTTTCCCCTAAGCACGTGGCACAATGAGAGAGAAAGACCAAATTCATCAGGAAGGTACGTTGAATAAATATTTGGGAGGACTAGGCAATCAAAAACTTGGAGTGACTCAGTAACTTAAGTATAATTGGCATCAAATACTTAACACTGAAATAATTTTCAGACTTAGATTTCACTTTTTAAATCAATTTGTACAAAAATTTTTAAAAAAATTTAACCATTTCTAAATAACGTAATTGATATGCATTATAATTTGAAGAGGTCTGACAACAGCTAAAACAGAAAAGGAGAAAAAAATGGGCTAGTTAGTGAATCAGACTTTAAACACAGTAGAAAAGCTCATTGAAATGAGCAATGCTCCTCTGACTTGGGAAAAGAAAGACATGCAGAGTCCCTCACGTGGGTGTGTAACCCAATTATTCTGGCTCAGTATTAGGGTAAATTTAAAGACCAATGACTGAAAGTATGATAAAGTTTAAAAAAAAAAACAAAAAAAAAAACATATAGACTAGGGCAAACTAGAGCACTAACAGTCATGAAAGAAGCCAGGAAATAATGAGTATTTTTTTAGAATCAACTTCAAGCGAAAATTCCTTAAGGAAATAACATTTTTATTTAATGGCATAAAAGGAAGAAGCATATTATGCTGCAGTGAAAATATAAACCAACATACGCATAATCCTAGCAACTCTACAACAGTTTCAGTTTAATACATCAGAAAAGCTCATTTCTTAAGAAATCAAAAAACAAAGAAAAAAACATTATTCCTAGACATCTGGCCCTCACTGCAGGTCTAAACCTTTGGTCTTACCCCATGTGAAAAGGGGGTGCCTTCTAGAAAAGGTGCTATTAAATTTATGACAGCATTTAGTTGCTTCCCCCCAAAATATTTAAAAAGCGTTGCAAAAAAAAACCAAAGAACTCTAAACCCAATATAAGGAGAAAATAAATATATATAAAAAAAGAGATCATAAAATTCAAAACAGCTTAAGTACTTAAAAAGCATTTTAATAACCAAACTCTGCTTCAGATCAAATTCTGGAATGTGCATTTAAGAAGTGACAAATTGATTCTAAAGATGCAACTTTGATTTCTCATTGTGCAATTTATCTTTGATACAACCTTGGCAAGCTTTTACCTTTCTGGTAATATACTGAAATGCAGCTTTGAGCAATTCAAAGTTTATATGTTTATATGCATTATCTTCAGACCTTTTAAAACATTTCAAGAGCATATATCTCAAAACATTTTTGATACTTGCAGCTAAACTCAGAAGTTCACTGCACTGGAACAGACCATCTGACAAATGAGTATCCAGTATCACCAGAGTATCCCCTCTCCAGAGACAGCCATTAGGAGTTAATTCATGAGAACAATAATATGGTGAGCTAAACAACTGATGATATACAATGGAATTTTAAAATATTATATTAAAATATTACACGTTAAATATCATAATAAAAATTCTAGCATTTAAAGAAGTCAATCTGTTTAATCCTCAATTCTCTCCACAAATACATCAAATATTATGTTGCTTATAATGTATGGCTGATTATGGCCCTTTAATAGTTGCATAAATGTAAATTTGTTATTATTTAAATATTAATGAGTAGCAATAACTCTGTTCTTAAATACTTCTCAAGAAGTTTTCACCAAATTTCTTTTTTTTTTTTTTTTTTAAATTTGGGTAAGGTATACTTCTGATCTAAAGAATAAAAGCTATTATCCTCTGGAAAATAAACTCCAGCAGAACTCTTACTTTTGTTTTCTTTTCCCCAGGTTACCTTCCAAAACTTAATCTAGCAGTCTTCCCTTAGGTGCACATATTAGAAATAGGATGATAATCCATCACAAACACGTTTAAAGTGTTTTATGGTTACAGTAAAACAGATCATATACTTTGTTAGATCAATCCTAAAATACTTAAAGTTTACCAAGACATGCTTTGAGGCTTAGCAACATCAAAAGCTCCAAAACTGCACCCAGTCTAGGTCATATGAAACAAATAGAAATTGTCCCACGTGTAAGTTTTTGTTTTTAAATCTCTCCAGATTTGTTACTCTATTACTGTAAATCACTGCGAATCTATTAAAAATGTCTGAAAGAAGCATCAAATTGTCAGCAATATATGCTTTGTAACCCAGGCAAACTACATGCATGTGACTTCCTGGTAGAGAAGCAACAGCTGGTGAGAAGTGTTGTAGACTTCTTTGAGAATCACTGCAGTACTTCTTTTACAGCTATATAGAGCTGCTGTCATTAGCTTTGTGAATATGAAATACTGTTTTTTGGAACTCTGAGCTGATCTGCATGGAATGACAGTGTAATCAGTGTCCACAACAAGAAACTCAAAATTCCTCTGAAATCCCATTTGCACCAAATTGGTAACACTATGACGAGAATAAATATGACAAAGTTTGTGTGTGATGGTCCCAGTCACTTTAATCAGTAATCAGGGAGTTACCAAGAGACTCTTAGAACCTGGAGAAAGCTTCCAAAGATGTATAAAGATTTGTGATTGCAGCGGGAGTGACAAGACAGCGATAGATCAGCAGTTGAGCTGTGTTTGACACTGCCTGGAGTCACTCCACTGGTAGAGAGCAGCCACCCCGCCAGACACCAGGAACAGCCTGCACCCAACTGGCAGACCGACAACACAGCAAGAAATAAATGGGGACCAATGTATCTGCTGTGTTCGTATGGGAATTCTTGTGGTGCTTTCTCAGAAGCATACAATTAGTGGACTTGAGGACGCTGCATAAGTACACACAATGCAGCAGCAATCACACCTCCAACAGGAGAGATATGCAGTCAGGTAAGTGACCATGTATTTCTTACAAAGGGAGTATCTGTGCACACTTGCACACACTTTACTTAATCAGTTGATTGATTAATAACATGTAATGAACTATTTTGACTTAAGCCATGTGTTGAACTGCCTTCACCAGCAAAGACTTTTAATCAGGAATGTGTTCCAGATGAATGAAGGTGACTAGTCTACTCAAGCCCAGGAAATAGCCAGGAGCCTACCCTTGTGAAAGTAAGGAATATACATACATATATACAATTTCCCCCATTATATATAAACTTCACTGCTGTTTGTAAATAACAGCACCTACAAAAACCCATGTATTTAGTGCAAACATAGGTAAAAGTTCAGACCAAGGTGATCCATTAGTTTTAATTCAGTCCCAGGGAGTTTCTAAAAAAGAGTAGTTTCCTTTTTTAAAAAGGAAGTAAGGGTAAGAGCAAAGGAAATCATGACACCTTTGAATTTGACAAACACCCCAACTGAATGCTTTACTGCATCACAATTTTTATTTTTGAATCAAACCCTTGGAAGTGTTAGAAATACATAAAAAGCCAATGTTGCAAGTGTTTATTGAATGTCTAAAGTAAGTTCAGCTAATGCTAATTGCTTTAACACACTTATTACGAGTAAATGCAATCATGTCAATGCAAGACTGATCTCCAGATGAATGGGTACCAAAAGAGTAATATTAGCCTGTGCGAGTAATGTCCAAGAATGTAGGGATGTGTTTTCTCTTTTAAGATAGCATGACAAGTGATAACAGAGTTGATAAATACTTTATTTCAGCAAATACCTTGAATACCATCTTAATTTTTGATTTCTGTCACATTTTCCTTCCTTAAATTACATCATTTTCTGAAAATAGTTTTTCCCACTGAAAAATTATAGCTAATAAAAAAGAGGTGGTAAGTTCCCCTTCGAAAATATCTTCACTGACCAAGGTAACTGCATATGTGAACAAGTCCTGGTCCTAAATTTGCTGTGCAGAAGAAACCTAAAAATAACCATTAAGACAAATAAAGCTTCTCTTACCTCTAATGTCCACATAGCCTATGGTTTAGAGCTCTTGGTGAAATTTTAGATGTTAAAATTTAAAGCTACTTTGAACATTCAAATTTCAGGACTGTGATGAGTAGCCACATATATAATGGGACGTTGTAAAAATGGTGTTACAGGACAAAAAGAGGCCCATAATAAAGAAGTAAGCTAAAAAAGGCTATAGGAAAAAAATATTTTTAATTGCCTGTATTATACCTCAGTTGCTTTCGTAGCTGCTCTAGTTCCACATTCTGTTCCGTTACAGTTTGTAGAAACTGTTGATTGCTCTGCAAAACAAGGAGATATTTATAGCATATTCTCATTTTATTGAAAGTCTCATATATTCGGAGTTATAGGACATTTCTACAGAATAGAATGCTGTAAGAATAGCTGATAAAGTCTATGTAACACTGGCTGGTCTTCAAGGTGCCAGGCTTTAGGTAGCGTAATATAGAAAGGCAAATGAAGAGTGATGTTACCCCATCCTCCATTTCTTTCCCCTGTTGGTAGTATAAGAACTTCCAGAGATGAAGACTGTAATAGCTCAGATCTACTATCTACATTTCCTATCTAGTTGCTTTAGGTACCTAGAATACCTTAGATAAATGAGTACCACAGTAGACCACATATTGCTGGAAAGAATTCCTTTGTTTTAAATAGGCTGCCTAATTAAAAACAAAAACAAAAAAACCCACTGCTTTGTATTTAATGTCCTCTTGTCCTGAGGCAGCAAGCAACTGTTTATCCCTCAACTTTCTATGCCACCCAGAGTGCTAGAAATCTCATCCTCTTTCAGGCGTCCTCTCATCTAAGAATAATTTAGTGTTTGTTATCCAACTAGCCTTTCCTGGATCTTACATTCCCCTTCTGAGATAAGAGATGACCACAACTTTAATATAGGTAGCATTCAAGATGCTACTGTACTGTGGACTTCAGCACAGTACCCAACCCCAATGCTAACATTCTTCTTGCTTTCTTGACTGTTGCTGAGAATTGTTTTCAGAACCCTCATACTTGTAAAATATGTATTCTGAGTGTTAACAATTACTTCAGGACTAACACTAAGCACCCTACGTGAAAGCTCCATTTTGCTTTCACTGGTTATTCTGCTTATATAATTATTAATGAAATGTCTGACAAAATGTATTAATGTATTTGATATCATGTCTAACTGCAAATTTCTGTATCCTATTTCAGTTTTCATTACCTTAAATTCTTTAACATTAGTAGTGAGCACTGTTGTTTCATTACTGGATCCCATTTCCAGAACATTTATAAATACGCTGAAAAACTCAAACCTGAACACATCTATGGAACACAGATGTTTAACCATGATAAAAAACACAACTAGTTACTTCTGCTCTCCACTCCTCATTTTTCAGTTTGGTAGCTTAGAAAGGGCATGCTTCTTCATTTCGTGACATTCGTAACAGACCTTGTCAAATTGTGTGGAGAACACAAGCAAATGTATAACCTTTACCTTTAACATTGTCTTCTTCAAAGAACACCTGTATTTCACTCTTCTCCTCATCATTTTTCCAATATTATGATTTTAAGCATTCAGTCATTCTACTTTTTGTTACCTCCTACTGCTTCGCTTATAATAGTCGATCAGTCTGCAAATTCCAAATCCTCACCTGAACTGTTTTGGCTCATTGTATTTCCTTGAGACTGTTTGACAGCAATCTCTCAATAACTATAATATGGCTATCAACCTTAAAGAAAGTTGATTTTGTTAGTCACTGACTGTATAAGGTAAAAATTCCTGAGTGTGTTATTTTGCTTTTATTAAAACTACTGAAACGACTAGTAAACAGAACTGCTTGCAAGATACAATTCTATGGCAATCTGCAGTATAGTACTCAATATCAGTAGGGGCTTGACTAAAGCACTACATTTTTTTCAGGCCCACAGCTTCCAAATGATTGCACAACAAAGAATTTAAGTATTTAAATAAAGAATTTTAAGGAAATTCAGAATTCAGGAAAAAAACACATTACTTCTTGATTTAAAAGCCATTACTTCTTGATTTTTGACTTGTTCCTAGACAAGTGTGCAAATCTGAATGGCACAAGGTCTATCCAAGCACATATCTATGAGGGACATTTTGCTTTCAGTTTGCGCTTCAAGGCTCCTGTAGAAAAAATTCAGTAAGTCACTGCTCATGTTTTACTTACCAACTCTATTTTCTCATTGGCTGCCTGTAGCTGCTGAGTCAGCTGGTGGAAGCTAGTCAGCTGATCCTAAAAAAAAGGATTGAGCTTCTTGTGTTTACCATCATAAGGATGTGACAATCAGTCAACTAAAAACATTTCTGAAAATTCATGTGCTTTACAGGAAATCCAATATACTTTGTAAATTAGTGATTTGATTACTTCTAGCTGTTGACCTGGTAATCTAGCAAATTAGATTTACTACTGAAAAACGTATCTGAATTTCACTCAGTTAAATGAAAGTGTACATGTGTAGTACTTCTAATGGGCCACACAAGCTATGATGGTACTATAAACATTTCACAGTAGCAGACATGTATCCACAACGTGTTAGCAATTATTTGATGCATCAGTGACGACCACATCTGACCACTCAACATTTGACGTGACTGTTACAGAAAACAGTATGATATAACCACCCCACCTCAGTTTGACTACACACAGACCCCAAATCTTCACAGTTTACAATGACATTCCAAAATTAACAAAAATATAAATGAAAATTACTTTCTGCTTTTGTCTTTCAGCCACATGGATTTGTGTTTCAGTCATGCGTTCCTGGTACTGCTGCCGCAGGCGATCAAGCTCCTGTGATACAGTCTGCCAGAGCTCTATTGCATGTTCTTTTTCCTAAGAAGTTGCAGAACAAATGTCTATATAAATACTGTCTTATTACAGTACATTTACTTTTATCTACCATTCCCCAAAAGAAAAGACGTAACTTTTCTTTTGAAATGTATTTTTGTACTTTGTACACATTACAACCACAAAGACAAAACAACAAATTCAGAGGTAGAAAAAGATGTTTGTGAGTTCAAATTACACATAGATGAGAATTGGAAGTTTTGCACAATTTTGTAGCTCTCTCCAGAAAAGCAGTTCTACTAAAGTTCTGAAACTTTCAAATGCAAACTTTTACAAGTATTTACTCTAGGACTATGGTATATCAATAGTCAAATACAAAAATTCAGCTGTCAATTTAGCTTCAATTTAGTCCAATGCAACAGGACTGACATATCACTGCAATAAGTTCATGAGATTTTGCTGAGCTTTTTGGATTTGTTACTTTCTGTATTCCACATAAACTTGCCTCTTCATTTCACATTACAATGTTTTTTTCTTTAAATCAAAATGACAACCTACCACAGTAACTTGAATTGAACAATATATTTTATTCATCTCCTGGTCAGGAAATCAACATAAAGATCAAGTAAACTAGGTAAAACTAAAGGCAAATTAACATAAAAACTTCCTAGGTGTATGAAGCTAGAAAGAAACTTCCTTCAGGTTTTGCTGTCCATACTATAAATACATTTTTTAAGCTACGTGAAATCAAGAAGGCCTCAAAATAGTTTCAAGAAAGTGTTATAAACAAATTCTGAACCAAGAAATAAACCATCCCCTAATCTGCTAAGGCACAAGAGAAATAAAGCAGTACAAACGTTTTGTCTCACACACTTGATTTGTCAGTTGTAGTTGTTCTTGAAGGTTTCTCATTATTCCTTCATCTGCAGGAAGATCAGTTCCCAGAGGCATGAAAGGAAGAGCCTCCAGTTGTGTCTCAAGAACCTCTTTCAACTCTGCATGAAGCCTGAAATTCAAAGTAACAAGTTAAGCAAAACATTTCTTTAACACATTATTTTTTTTAAATCAACTAAGTTATGTACCTTTAATCTGTACATAATGTTGACATCTGACATTTAAATCTATTAAGATATGTTCTATAAAAACAATAAACAGTTTTAAATAGCTTTATATCTAGTTATTTTACACAGATATGGCTGAACCTCCTAATCTGGTGGTGTAATATATATTAAGCACTTAACAACTAACACAAGTACATGAGTATGAAATCTTGAATTGTTAAGTGGCTTCACAAGATTTCAAAGTCTTAGGAAAAAAAATAAGATTAAAAAATCAAGAACAACAGCAATAACAAGTCAGTACACTTATTTACCTTTCATTTTCCTTGGTGACTTGCTCAGATTTTCGTCTCATCTCACCCATCTGTGCCTAATACAAAAACACGCACAAGTAAGCTCTTAAGCGTCAAACTTCAGCAACTCGCTCTATGTTTTTTCTGAATGATACTGTAAAACACAGACTACATAATTCAACACAATGAAGTAATTGAAAGTAAGATTTCCTTCTGTAACAGAAGTCACAAGATGCCACTTAAATTTAACAGCTGCTAAATCCTGTTTAAAAGTTACACCTGAGTTCTAAGTTGTTATGACCATTAAACTTAGCTCTGGGAATGCCTATAGCTCTTACAGATATATTTTTAATTAAATACTGTTCTTTTAGGGATACAGTTGATAAATACTTAATGTGTACAGGATGAGTTAATAAAAAATTTTAGGAACTATGTAAGGAGCAATGTCAGTTTGTAATAGCTGAATCAACTGCTTTGTTAACAGAAGGAGTGCAACAGAAGCATAGGACTTATATTGTCTTCTGCAATCAACCAAGTTTGAAGACTATTTGTGGACGCTCTACTACGGACATAAGATTAAGTGCACTGAAACAAAATTGTAGTGTAGCTTTTGCATGTAGATCACAAGTAAGAACTGATCTCTGCTCCACAAATTTTAATTATTAAACACACCACTTTACTTTTCAGGAATCATAGGAAGCATTGGTTTCATTTGCCTGCGGTTTGAAAGGAAGAGAGACAGTTCCCTCTCCCCCACTCTCCATGATACCAAACATTTCAATTATTTGAGTTTGAACAACTAAGAACATAGAAGTATGAGTATATCTAGTTGCAAGACTGAGCTGGACTGTACGGCCAAGATCAGACCTGTAGGGGAAGGGGGAAATATCTGCCTCATCTCAGTGTCACCGAGGAAAATTCCGTGCAATCATATCAGAATGTCCAGAGACAAAAACATGCATGTTGTGTTTCACACCATCACTTCCACAAACACAGTAATGGCACAATTTGGACAACGTCCCAGCTTTTTCATAAAAAGTTCTATTCATTCATTTGAGACAGGCTGTGATCTTGGAACTTTGTGAAGCATGATGCAGTCATGCTTTCCTCAACTGACAAAAAATAGTAGCCTACATATTAATACAGTAAAGCACTAAAAGAGTGCAAAATGTTGTCAACATACATACCTCATAAATCCGCAGCTGCTCCCTCATCTCTTCCAGGTGTTTATCATACTCTACAATTAGAGCTGATAAGCTGAAAATTGGAAAAACATGCTCAGAAACCATTTTGTAAATGCAGAAACATCGTTTTGATAATCATCTGGTTTTACAGAATTCTTAACCTAGAGAACAGAACAAAGCAGTTTACTTCCAAGACCAACATTCACCAGCATCAAGAGAACAAGTTTAATTACTTTTAAACTATGATAATTAACCACAGACTTACTATATGAGAGAATTAGAATACACAATATTGTAAATGAGCTGTAATGCATTAGTATTTCATATATAGATAAAAATCTCCAAAAATTAGAAACTAGACTTTCTTACCGCTTTCACATACAGCAGTAAAGGACGTATAAGATAATGTAAAAAAATGCAGTTTTACTTGCATACTTCCTTCCTTCCCAGTATTTTTTGTAGACTACAGTAATTCTCTGAAAAAACTTTATTAGTGATAAAGCCTTAAAACCCAACCATAAAGGGTAGTTTGTAACAGCATGAAGAGCATAATGACCATTAAACAGTTTACCAGTGCCCCTATAGAAAAGCTTATTTGTGCACTGTTAGTCAACTTCTCAAGCAAATATTTTAAAAAATACCCACCTGACTTGTTTAACAGACACCTGTTACCTAACTTCATGCAACCTCACCTGCACTTTATTGTCTTAAAATTTACATTAGATTATTCCTCACCTCCTGTTCTTTATTTTATAAACTGTGCAAGAAGAGTCATATTTAAATCCCTGAATTAACAGAAGATTTATTTAAACACAACTGTTATAGGAACACTTTCGCAGACTTCCCCTTACAAGTCCTCAGAGCTGTGAGCAAGTAAGTGTACATAAAACTAGGCCCAACTGGATATTAACGCTTTTAAAAGCAAATGTGTTTTTTTTCTTTTTTTGAAGTAGTATTCTCTCTTGTTTGGAATCAGTTACCTTTGGTCCTTTATCCTGGATCCGGATATACCATCACCTCCAAAGACATTTTTCTGTAATTGAATATCTTATGTTAGTACTTGTACATGACTGCATGTAGCTATTATTTATTTATTTTTTAATATGCAACAAAAAGCTGTTTATTCTGTCTGTACTGAAAGCATACAATCGCTTTTAGGTTTACATTAAAAAATCCTTGAACTCTGGCCCAATTTGAAAAAAATACAATTGATTTTTTTTTCCTGGAGATGCTCTGATGTAAAGTGTAACAACATGTGATGGGGAATCAGCTCTTTCTTAAAAGAACCCATACAAGTCTGTGCAAGTGCCAAGTTCATTTCCATGCATCCCAGCATCAGAAAAGTGCTGATGCCGTAAGTTCTGCACAAATTTTCAGACAGGCTTATGGTACTCACCACAAAATGCTATCTTCACATGAGACAAAAAAGCCTATAGAAGTGAAAAAGTCTACTCTGCAGAAATCAAGTGTCTTTGCAGGGATGTGTTCTCCTGCATATGATAAACTTTAAAATGCACTAAAAATAGCAGAATTCATAGCTGTTATGACAGTTTTATTCTGCTGCTGCTTTGAAAACTAGAAGCAACTCTGCAGATATGCAATGGGCTCAAGGCAAAGTGACACTGAAGTGGACTATGTTCTAGGTATGCAAAGATGTATGTCTTAAAACTGAGATTTTTTTTTTTTTTTTAAAACTACTTCTATACCTGTGGTAAAACCACCCCACAATACCTCAGTTCACATACCTGCTCAGCATTGCTGCTCAAAATTTCATCCGTTTCATACTGTTCAAATGCCACATTTAGCCTCTGATCTGAAAAATACAACAGAAGTTAGAAGATCATACAACATGAACGTTTATCTAGATAAACCTGACTGGTAGTCAGAAATGTTTTATGGTGTAGCGCTTTGAAGGCACACAATATGCTTTGTAAAATTCTACTTAGTGCAATTATTTTCAGGAAAGTAGGAGTTCAAAAAAATACAAAGACTAAGAAGAAATAATTAATTTGACGTCTTCCATATCATTACCTCCTAGAAATTATTTTATTTTTTTTGCCTAGAAAAGTCATAAACATACACAACATCTTAACGATTCATGAGGACTAAATACAACGAATCACACCAGAGCCAATTCAGTTAGCTGGATGATATAAAATTAACCTGTTGCTGGGAACTGGACCCATAAATGTTCAAACAAGCATTCACATAAATGACAGACATAAAAATATTCAACAAATTTAGGTCACAAGAACTTCATTGATACATGAATCTGAGCACTCACATATATCCAAAAGAAAGCCAAGCAAGAAAGACATGCAGACTTCAAGCATCTGCATTTTTAGAAATAAACATCAACTAAGGCATTGCTCTTCTCTACTAATCTAACTTTGACTACTGGGATTTCAGAGACTACTTATGCTGCAAATGGAAGAATCAGCAAAAGGTTGGAAAGGGAAAACAGCAGCTCTTCCCATTCATTTATAGCACTCTTCCATCTGGCCAAACCATGAGAATCTGATTTAAACCTTTGTAACTGAAATGGATAGAGGGGAAAAAAAAAAAAGGGTGTCAGGAAGACAATACAACTGTTTTGACTTAAAATTTCTTGCCTGTTATTCTTGATATGCATTGCAATGGTTCTTTTTGTGGTTCTAATATGCTACAGGAATCTACAGGAAAAAAAAAGAGAACAGAATATAAAGGGGATGTCAACAAACAGGACCTGGAAGAATAGCTGGCCCCACCAGCCAAAGCAATCTCAGAACATGAACATAGGTGCAAAAGGAGGATAGACCTTAGACACCAATTGCAGAAGTATTCACCTTCAATAGTAATCATAAAGTTCATTCAGATAAAAGATGTACTTAGTAGCTTATCACAAAAATATGTAATGGAATGGAATGGATAACTATCACATGTAAGATCGGCTGCTGATACTTCAAAATGAATTCAACCAAAACTGAATTTATAACTGATCAGTGTCAGGGAACAGCATTTCATTATGAGAACTTCCGTTACAGCTATAACGCAACAAGTATTTATGCTATAAAGCTGAATTTAATAGTGCTTATAGAATCCCCATGTATTACACACATTCAACACTTTAGAAGTTGGACATCATCTATGAAAAAAGTAGAACATCGATAAATACAACAGACTTAGAACAAGCCTCAAATAGCTTGTGTCTCAACTGCTATGCAAACTAACTTAAAATTTGTTCAGCATCTTTGCAGGATGCATTTTTTCTGAGAGGTATCCTTGAGAGAAAAGGCAACTCGTCGCTTCATGGTGTATATTGTCTAAGCTCCATTTGGAGTCACGCAATTATAAAATAAGAAACTAGACCCAAACACATCAAATACATAAAAAAGGAAATTCACAACTTTTGAACCTAAACCATTTGTTCACGTCACAGTATAACAAATATTTGAGCAAAACTCAAGAGATATAGAGGCTTCTGAGGCAAGGTTACTGGTGGTACAGACAGAAGCTTTTCTGCTGTTGAGGTCCTTTGAATCACGAGTTGTCCCTCCACCTCTGTCCATCCAAAACTGTCCTAACAAGCTCAGTATCCGCTGAAAACTTGAGCTGCGTGCTGCACGGTCACAGCACTTCTTGCACTGTGATCCTGTCCATTCACGTTACCCCATTTCCCCACCACACAGACTACAATGGCGGGGTGAGCAACATTCTTGGGACAACACATCAACTCCCTATTTTTAGAAATATAAACTCTGCAGAAGCATCTTTTGCCAGTCAGTATTTTGGCGTTCAGCAGTCTAAGTACACTCTGATCCACTCGTTTTACACTCACATTAAAATTACCCAAACCATACAGAACACATACTTACAGGTATAGCTTTCAGTCTGTAACACACATTTCATCAGAAGGCAGCTTTTTTGCCTTCCAGGTGTCGGTTAAGCAGAGTAACATTTTCGTACATAAAGAGGCACGATCCTAAAAATTCCCGTGCCTGGCTATTACCCTCATTTACACCCTTTTAACGGTTAGTCCTCTGCTAGCCATAAAAGTTTTCATACTGTTGTTTCTCGCCGCAGACACCACAGAAAACACCCCCCTGCTGTTACACCCACGGACTGAAGGCTTCCCTCCTTCCCTCCCCATACAAGAACCGCCCCAGGCTCCCAGGGGCCGCCTCCCTCCATAAGCCGGGGGCAGCCTCGGGGCCGACCGCCTCACCTGGCTCCCCGCCGCCGCCGAGCTCCGCGGCCATGCCGGCGGTCAGGGCCGTCACCGCAGCCTCGGAGACGGCGGAGCCCCCGCCCCCGAGCCCCTCACCGACACCGCTCCCCCGGCCGCCGGAGCCCGTAGCGAAGGAAGCGGCGGTTGCAGCGGGCGGGGCGCTGCGCTAACGGTTGCGCACGCGCCGGCGAGGCGCTGAGGGGCGGCCGTTGGCGGCCGTTGGGTGCGCGCGCGGCGGCGGTTGGCGTGAGGTGAGGGCGGTTGGCCGGGGAGCCTCGGCCGTTAGGGTCGCAGGAGGTGCCTGAGGGTGCGGGGCAGACCCTCGGTGGGCTCCTGCGGGAAGCTTGTGCCCAGCTACGGGCTGGTGGAAGCTGCCCTCTGCGTCACGGCTTGCAGCTTCCTTGGCCTGGCAGGGCAGTTAGGGAACCCGGAGCGCAGCTGCTTGGTGCTGTCCCGCTACCCGTGTGGGTAAGGGTCGGGATGGAAGGCACAGAGCTCCCTGAGGAGCCGTGAGGGGGGGCCCCAGGTGCAGCAGCGTTCTCAGGGCGGGCAGGTGCGATGCTGGGGGAGCTCAGGTGCGAGTGCCTGAACTGGGTGCAGCGAGCTGCATGCAGCTTGGGGGCGTGCAGTGGGAGCACTTGCAGGTGGCTAAGAACTTCTGTATGGTGTGCTGATGTTTGGCTGAGCCTCCTGGGCGTGTATAGCATTAAAGGTAGATTGAAGGTCCTCTTTACTTTAAACACCCCCATTACTCCATACCATTGTGCTGTATTGCTTTCTTTATTATAATTGAGAAGCATACTAGTAACCAACTTCACTAAGTCTGTGTATGGTAACGTGGATCATTCTTACAACTTGTACGTTTATACCCAATAAACTGTCACTGCAGGAGTTATTTTTATTTTTTATAGTAAAGTCATCTGTCTGTCCTACATGTACAAATAGTAAGGTGCTACATCTGTTGTGTCTAATTTTCCTTTCAGACACCATGGTTAAAGTAGTGCTCAAAGTAGTTCAGCGGCTTCTGTTGTGGAACTCTTGTGGAAATGTGAGGATGCTCTTGATACTGTGGAGAAGAATAAGGGGCCATAAACTTTTTGGAAACTGTGCTCCATTTATTCTTTTGCTTGTTATATAGATCAAGGTTGTTTTCAAGACTCGTGCAATTGTTTCTAAGGAAGAAATGTTGGAGTGTAGCGTTCTCTGCTGCTCTGCAGATCTTGTTTGTTAAGATGTGCTTGCAGTTTTTCTTGAAATCCTTTGCTTTGGCTGGTTTTCAATGACCGCCAAGCAAAACTGTAGCAGATTTTTTGTCTTGCATTTCAGATTCACTGAAGATTTTTTTTGTCAATCTGTTTTTTTTTCATATTACAAAATCTTCTAACAGCATGTAGTTATGCCTGCTTTGTTTATCTGTTCTCTAGATAAATATTTGATGGTTTTGGAAGGTGTTTAGGTAGGCAGTGAAATGTCTTAAGCTTGGCAAAACTTCTAAAAGTCATTTGTAACCATGGAAGTATAAAAGCCTATGAAAAGCATTCATGTTACTGCTTTATAAAGCTAAACTATTTCAGCTCTTCTGTTGTCTGGAAACATGATTTGGGGATTGTAACAGATGCAGCTGTCTTGTTATTGACAAAATGACTGATACAGCTTCATTATTTTTTTGCCTGTAACTTGTTCTTTTGTTGGTAAGGGCTCATGCAGAATATTCTAACTTCTGCCTGCACAAATGGTTCTCCCTTTCAGAATAATCTGGCATTGCAGAAGTATGGCTATAGGTGAGTGTAAGAGCAGTTCCTCCCCAGTCTGTTTTGGAGTCTGCCCTCCACAGGGATGCCACGTGCTTGTCCTAGAACTGAGTGGCCCTAAGGAGGGTGTGCGTACACGTAGTCGTTGGGATGGGGGTGAGTTTCTCTAAGCAGTCTGTATCTGTGCTGATCTGTGTAATGATAGGGCTGCTGGCAAAAGCTCTAGCTGTAGAGAATCTGGGTTACAGAGCTGACATATGGAAGCTGCTTTTGTAGTACAAGAGGCAAACAGAGACGTTTGAGGAGGCATGGATTTGTCTTGCTACCCTAATGTTGTTTGGGTTGAGGAATCTAGCTAACACTATACAGACTTTGACTTGTCATATATAACTTGCTCTATAGAGGAACTCAGTAAAATAATAGTTTTAAAACAGTGACTTGTTCAAGTGACCATCTTTCTTCATTCATAAATAGGACGGAAACCAATCAGTTCTCTCCTCTTGGTCCTGTCTAGGAGATTTATGCTTCACGCAAAGTTATTTTTCAACTGCTTAACTTGCAAGTTTTTATTTTTATTTTTTTTAGCCGAGGGGCCAGTACTGTTGGTGCTGAAATGGCATCTGGGCTCTTTAATGGAAACTTCCTTTCTCATTTGTCTTATGCAGAATATTAAAATGGAATTCACAATTGAACACACGTGGGATGATTTACCTGTGAGCCACAAGCCAGTAACAATTGGGCTGAAGTCATATGACGGAGGGCTGCTAATGGTAGTCAACGCTCCCTTCTTTAATGATCCTCCAGCACCACTTGGAGAGCCAGGGAAGCCCTTCAGAAACTTGTGGGACTATGAGGGTAAGCGTAACGGTTTTGCTGCAGTTATCTGATTTGTGTACATGCTGATGTTCATCTGTATTTAATATGCCTGGTTGTTGTTTAAGCTTCTCTGATGGCTATTTTTAAAAACTGATCTAATTTGAAGTGTTGAATGTATGGCATCTACTAATGCAGTACCGTGATCAAAGAAACTGAACTGATTTTAAAGTTCCATATAGGAAATGTAAAGAAAAATTCCTTCCTGTTTTATCTTAAGGGCTCTGGGAAAGAATGCTGGTGAAGAACTTCCTTGTAACCTTCATCCTCCCTTAAGGAAATTCCTTAAGTAACTTTAAATGTCATGCTATATCTAGCCATAAACTACTCCCAAATGTATTAAGAGGGATACTCTCTATCTAGGTGGTGAATTATTTTCATGACAAACACTGTTGACAGTAAGGTTGTTTTTATAGTAGTGCAACAATATAGATGACTAGGAAAAGAAGAAAACGTTACATTTATGTCACTTGGTGGACATAAAGGAAATGGACTACAGCAAATAGGATGGGTATCAAGAATAGTGAGGTTGACTTTTCCTGATGTCAGTAGTATGGATGTTCAAACTTGGCTTTTGGGTTACTGATATAACTTGTGGGACAATTAAGGCTTGACATATTTTAGTATTAAAATAATTTTACGAGATGTATATATAAATATACCTTATGTATACATAAATATACAAATACATTATATACATATATAAATATACATTTGCAGTATGTAAATAGAATTGAAATGCTAAATATAGGTTCTACTTTCTCTTTAAGTAGTAGAGAACAATAGGTAAAACATTCGTCTATTAATTGCTTACTTTTCCAAAGTCAATTTCAGGAACAGGAAGGTACGAAGCAAAGAAAGTAGAGCGCATAATGTTATTGAAAATTGCACCCAAATAGAATGGGAAATATTCCTACAGGAATGCTGTTTTCTCTCTTCTTTCCTGTCAATACTTTCATTTTCACCTGTTGCTTTGAATAATATAGCAACTTAATGCTTCTAACAGTTCTCTGCTTTCGGATTATTGAAATACTCTGATTTAAGCTCTACTGGAAAATTAATAGCATCATTTCGATATCTATTATACCAAGTAGGCTTATGTAAAACAGCATAATAAATCATATCTAGTTCTAACTCTAACTAAAGCTTTATGATAACATATCTTTACTGTGAGAAAGACCATTATAGTTCTAACTAATGGTCCTAAAAAGTGATTCAGTAGTCACACCTAGTGTTCAGGTATATCTGAAACCAGGTAATTCCTTGTCCACAGGATCAGCTATTTACTGGTCAGAGTGTTTTTGAAAGCTACTACTTTCTTAATATTTCTGAGATTCAGCAGGCTTTTTAATTATGGTGTGTGTGCTTTGCTGTGAGTTCCTCTTTTCGGTGTTCTGCTGTGTATGGTGCTCTGAATCCTCAGGCTACCAGCAAATACAAGATTCTGACCCTTAAGTGCCTTAGGGTGAGTGTCTGCTGTGAGTGTGATTGGCCACGATCTCTGTCTTAACACTGTTCGCAGCAAGCATATTGGGTGAAATGTCTGTGCTGGTGCTATGCTTACTGTGCTGAGAGCTGATGCTACTTAGTAGAACTGCCATTTTTCTGATGCACAAGAATTTTTTTTCTAGAATGGCATAGGCCAAAAGCCATTATGAAAACGAATGTTTTAATGGGATGTGAAAGTCTTGGGATGCTATAAAATCGGTAACTAATATAAAGCATTGACAGCCTGTGTCTTTTTTTTTTTTTAAAGTTGTAGAGGCATTTTTCTTGAATGACAGAACTGAACAGTATTTAGAAGTTGAACTTTGTCCGTAAGTACAGCATGCTGGAAAAAGTTGTGAATACTAATCTGCATTTCTAGCTGTAATGCTTGTGGAATGTATGCATGAGGAAAACTCTGGGTGCAGAAACTACTTCAATATGGAGGATGAACAAATTTGTGGCAGAAATGTGCACTAATAACTTGGCATCGTTTTAAGAAAATTGTGGCTCTGATTTTTGACAGTCATGGACAACACTTATTGTTGCTGCTTTCTGGCAAAAGAAGAGTATGGAAAGTAAGTGGTCAAGTGCATTCATAATGTACAGAAAGTAACTTTTAGGTGCATGTTGGCTGATTAGAAGTTAACTAGCTCTTTTTTTCTGCCTTTAATAGGAAGAACTTCCCTTGGAATTTGAGGTGACCAGAATGGAAACCAAATGGGAGGGTAAAGCTCATCTTCCTTGGAATTATTTTCCACCATGCACTAACAAGTTTAACGCATTTGCAATTCATGGCTCAGGAGACCAGAGAAAATATGAAGCACTTCATCCTGTGCCTCGATGTGAACTTCAAGAAGGACAGAAACCAGATTTGTAAGAATAAAATTAGTTCTCTTGTAACATAGTTGCATTCTTCTTCCAATACTCGTACAACAAACCTAATTTAGTTTTCAGACTGAGTGCCAGTGCTATTTGAATTATACTGCTTAGCCCCACATCCATTGGCACTGTACTTAGTGCAAAGAACTGCCAGATAGCTGTAATTAGTGCTTGATTTCTATGTTATCCCCTGGGCGCATAGCAAATGATGCATTCGACACCATTCACATCTGTTATCACCTTCCTTGGCTAAATCATAGATGGGTTGT